GATAATGTATAGGATAAAAATAAAAATATGGAATTTTTCATAAGAATGTGACTTTTACTGTAGTATTGCATTGAGAAAATTATTATACGTATTCCTGGTAAATGTGTCTAATAAACAATAATCATATGGTTGGATAGAAAATATCATACATAGAAGATTTACATTTTATTATTATTTGATAAACATTTCAAATTTTGATCTGTAAACCTTTTGTTTCATTTTCTTTTTGTTTCAACTGATGCCATCTTCATTTGTCTTTGAGCAAAATAAAAAAATCAAACAAAATAAAAAAGAAAATCGCATGATATATTGTGTTATACACATAGATTAATGTATACAGAATAAAACACTATTGTTTAGTACATTTACGTATCAGTCAAAGACCTATCAAGAAGATTAAGGTTGGTAATTGTACATTGTTATACTATTGAGAACAAATCGATACGTTAAATATGAGAAAATCTTAACGCAGCGTGCACTACATCAAAATTTGTGTTGAAACGTTATTGCATTAAACTTCAAAAGAATAACCATCACAACTGCAAAAATGTATATCTTAACATAATGCTGAAGATCAAAATCAAATACCTACACTTTTAAACGTATCGAAAATTCGTCTAGAATACATATCAACTTTATATACACTGCAGACAACCGTTTAGAAAATTGGCTCATTTTTTCCGCATTTTGAAAAAAGCAATGCTATTCCTGTCATATCGGATATAAACAACAAATACCAACGCACCAGAAAATATCAACATCATGTCAAACTATGAAGCGGCCGTTTATTTGGCAAACAAATGCATTATTATTTTTCGAATATGGAGAGGAATTATGAGACAAAATAACCCAAATTTCATGCAATTCGTTTCCAAGTGGATATCACTTTCAAATTGACAACGGGTTAAATTTCGTATGACATGCGATATATTCCCATATGTCTGTCGTTTCGAGGTTCAATTTCCTTCACGTAATCAGCAAATTTCCATACAAATGGAACCGAGAAAGCTAATTCAAGTTCTACATTAGATTATCCATGGTTTGCCAACATTTTTCTTTGTCTGAAATGCTTTTTAGGGGGTCATGACTAATTTCATAGCTGTCCTGAGACGAAGCGGAAAATACATAGCCAAATGAGAAAACAGGAAATAAAAACCATTCTTCATATAACACTTTTGTAATATTGAGTCTGAAGTTGTCATGAGACAATCAACAATAACACACCAATAATATGCTTTAAAATTGTTAGGACATTTCGGAAAAAATAGTTGAAATATAAGTAAACTAGGGATGGTGTGATTTTAGCGTCTACAAATTAATGACGACTTTTTGTTTAGGCTTCTCATTTCTTCTTAATCGAATGTCTTCACAGAAGATGGTGTCTGTTAAATTGTGAGCAACCCTTCCCGATTAGTATTGTCACATTTCTTTTTCCTTTGATGACTAGTTATTTCCTAATGTATATTGAGTCTGTTCCGGCTTTTGTATATCCTCCTTTTCTGTGGTAGTTTGACTGTTCGTTTGGCATAACTTTTGTTCTTGAGTTTGTGTTTTGTTTTTGCTTGTAATCAGCTTGTGTTTCAAAAAGTGAAAGTGTTTTCCTATCCTTTTCTTTTTGTGTCTCCCAATTCCAGTATTTTTCTTCATACATTTTTGTGGCGGTATGTTCCTTTATTTCAGTGTGCCTCTATTTTCTGTGGTTTCTAATCATTTCTGTATTTGTTTGTCTTGTGCTCCGTACATTCTACAAATATCAATATCGTCTTTTTATCCTCTGTTGTCTGTTTTTCTTTAAATGTCGCCATTGTTTCTAACTTTATTCCACGATGATGTCTTCAAGAGTTTATAATCAATTCAATAATTACAAAATAATCAATAAACAGGGTTTTTTTTCTAAATTTCATTTTGGTAAAAAAAGTAACAACTAAAATAATGACAATAAAAAACAAACGTTCGGACATAGAATACCTATAATCAAACAGGCTTCATGTTGCACAGCACAGCGTTCAACAACAACCCACTCTTAATAATTAACTAAATAATTGTTTATAGAAAATATTTTACTTAATATGCATAAGGTAACTGATGAATTATGCGAAAGAGACGTAACAACCTTGTCATAGATTTTAAGACACATGTAGTTATTCTGCAATGGCTATCAGAGGAGTTAAGGGGGCAGATATCGAATTCTGTTGATGCCATGGAGAATACACATTAGGCTAATAACACAACGACGTGGTGAATTATGGGGATGGAAGCAACTGTTCGCCATCAGTCGAGCAGTCTCGCTACTTGTAGGGCCATGTCATGTTCAGCTTATTTGCCGCTATGATTCCCAAAGGGACTACAACTCAAAGAATTATACCTGCCGCGGCGTAAAAACTAATCCCTTGGTCTCCTCGGGATTTCTCGAGCTATCGCGAGAACCCAACGAGATATTGATCTACAGAATGTTCTCGCGTGAGTGAAAGGTTTTCAAAAATACTTCATCATCGTACTAATACACGGAGTCAGGCTAAGGGGCGATATGAATTGACTGAAACCTACGTCCATAAATATGTATGAATTTATGCTACATAGTCAGGATATATTTCATCTAAAGTAACCGAATCATAGTCTGTCTCTCACAAGAGGAATGTCTACTTAGTGTGAGAGTGGGTTCACAATTGATCAAATGTTGACTCTTTAGAAACATCTCTTGCCTGCAAGAATATATATTTTGCATCTAAGTATATCCATATAGAAAACTTGTGTAAAACATTGATCCCTTTTTATGAGTGAATACAAGTGACTGAAATGTTTCTGACTATTTAAGCTTTGGATCAGTCAATTTTCGTCCTTTCGTTCGTTCGTTTATTTATTTTTTTTTTCATTACAAAAACTTTTATCTTTGTTGGTACGCTTGATTGATAACGAGACAACCAAGATGTATATGTAATTCGAGAATTTCAATACTCTATCGTGCAATCTCGCCTTCTTTTGATCTAAGACTAATATTTATTTTTATTTTTCATTTCACCAAAAGAAAAATCGGCAAGTGATAACAACAGTCTATGAGAACAATAGTCAATAAAATTGATACATTTATTACTATAAGTGGTAATATAACTGCTTACAATATAAGGAAAAGGTACGTAATTGAGCTTCAAATGTCTAGTGGAGTCCCCGTAAGGAGTTTTGCAAAATATGTCCAAGCATTTCTCCCTTTGGTTCCTTAATTGACAAATCAGCAAAAGTATTAAAAAAGGTCCCCAATCAATCAACGCCTGGTAATATACGGAAACCACAACTAATAGAAAAAGACTAGCAGGAACTCAAAACATAGTATTTTGATATCCTTTACATGGGGGGGCTGGCCTGTTTTATTAGCTGAGAAATTCATCATGGCTTGTTTTTACAGCGATTGGCTACATTGATAAAGCGCCAGATCTTTGCGGCAGAATAACGAATAACAGTCCTTTCTGACTCGACATTTCTGATTATGGATCATATTTCATAGTCGCTCCATTTTATTAAGTTGACAATTCTATATATCGTGTGGAGGTTAGACAGTGAAAAATGACCACGAAATACGGCTCCGTTCCGATGTTTTACATGGTGATACATGCCCCGTGTTAAAATAGGCATTGTTCACAGCCACTTCATCTTCCTGTCACGGCCGCATAGTATCTAGAAAAACAAGAAGAAGACAGATGGTCTCCGAAATGTATTTTATTCCGAATGGATGATACGTCTTAATCTCGTGTGCGTTTTGTTCGCATGGGTCCCATAGGGAGAAATTGAATTATTCCTAGCGTGGTTCTTGAAATTGAATTGAACAGTCAAATGAACAACACATTCAGATGGAAGAAGGAAGAAAGATGTCGACCACTTGTCCCTATGGACAAGGCTTTCATCCTAATATCTATTCTCTAAAATAAAGAAATACTTTCCAACTCACAGTGTTATTGATTGTTTGTCTAATTTAGGGTGCAATTTCATTCAATAATCTAAACTCAATATGCGGTACTGTAGAGGTGAAAATTAAGAGTAGACGAATCCCATCAGAACGTTAGAAGCGACATTTCTATAGGTAATTGTTCATAATTAAACGGCTGTAATGGGGTTTGCCGTTAAGAATCACTAATTTGACTATCATCCGATCACAAGACAAAGTCATCCAGTTTGATGATTTTTTTTTTGCTGCTATGGGACAGAACAGAAACATCACAAAACACTCTTAGAAATTACCAAGGGACATTTTATCTGATGTGAGGTCATCAATCGCCAAGATGTTGTGTTAGTCATCCTTCTGGTATACGGGTAAATCATATCAACGTCCTTTAAGAATTATTGGTATTTTTGTCAGTTTGTTATGCTTGCCTCGAGAGACAACACGTTCATATATTATATGCCAGGGAATTAAGGCGATAAAATATGTGCCTCTACAAAACGAAAGGACAATTGAGTTGCAAATGGTGTGAGAATAAAAAATGTGAAAGGGCTTTCATCTGTACATCTTAACATTTCTTCATTGTCTTAATACATGTATATGATCAAGCAAATCTCTAGATTTTTTTTTCAAATCCACGAAAATGCTCTCAATGTTTAAACAAATGGATAGGGACCGTTTCCCTGTCAAGCTTGAGCTTCAATGTACCGAATATCTGGGGAACGTACCTACACGTATGTAACTGATAGGCTATTTTCTTATATCATTCATTGTCGATATGAATGTCTTGCCTTTAGTCATTTGTAAGATTTAAAGATGAAATTATTGAAACAGGTATATTTAATACGACTTAGAGTAAAGGACATGACATAGCATTGGTCCTGGTTTAAACAATATCTTATTCATTATCAAGCAATAATACACTGACATATATGATGACAAAAGACGCTAAGTGCTTATATAAATCCTCAAAGGTAACCGACGTACAAGAAAGAACTGCGTTCCGAGTTTCACTTTTAAAGAATATACCTCTAGTATTTAACACGTATCTTTCTCTTTTTTCGTTCAGATATTTTTGCTACGGAGCCTAGCTTCGACGTTCCGGTAGTCAATATCACAGTGGTGGAAGGAAAGACTGCAATTTTACCATGCTCCGTTGAACATTTAGGCAATCATAAGGTAAGTTCAAAGAAGGAACCATTGTAGGGGACTTCAGGAAAAAGGTCCGATTAATTTATTTTCCAGGAATACCAAATTACACCGTCGTGATATATCCCATTAAGTAAATGAATATCGGCTAAAAATGTGTTAATAATGAGTTTTATGTAAACAAACGAGTTCTTTATCGGGCAGATATTGTGAACGTATTAATATACGCCATATTTTGTATGTATTTGTATATTATAAAGATTTTACGTTGGCCATGATATAGATATTTGGTATTATGCAGAAAAACTCTCCGACATTGATAGACACTCCAGACAATAGCTGACGGACAGATAGACCAGGAATTAGACAGCAAGCGGCGATTTTCCTATGAAAATGTACCACCGTGTTATCAAAAGTGTGGTTTCCAGTTTGATATTCCCTTGTGCTTTCTTTTCATTACACTTCAATTCCATACATAATAATTTAATCATCTAATAGTCTTAGTGTTTTCCTTTCGACGACAGAGTCGATAAGTGTCAATTTTGTTCAATAATTGTATTCCGGATCCGGCAAGAAAATCATTTGCTTTTTGTCGTCTGCTCTTCGAAATGGCATGATTCAAGCGAAGGAACCAAGGAGCCGTCTGTTTTCGCTTATGGAGAACAAGTTGTATCCACATTCATTAAGACTCTTATTTTATCAAGTATAGTTATGTCGCATGGGAAAGGAACGTAAATAGTGTGCAGACTTCAACTCACCAGTAATGCAGACCTCTTAAATAGTACAACGCCTAGACAATAGCTTTTTCTATTAAAGCAAATATGATGCTGGATCATGAAAACAGTCTTCTATATACAACAGTCTCCCTGTCCCCGTCCTCTTTAGGTTCGGAGCCTTTTCGATAATATTGACTTTCAAGTGGCATCTGCTCTTCAAACTAGACCTGGAATTGATAGGTTTGGTGATTCGGTGATTCTTCTGTTTTTCTTGTTCCTACTGTATGATAGTCTTACCATAACATTTACATTAAGGCTTCATGTCCAAGATGGCTAACGTCCATAAACATGACCTCTGCCCAAAGTCATAAAAATAATAAGACAAGAATTTCCGCGCGCTCGTAATCAGATTAACCCTTTCTGCCGTTACTTGACGATGCAAATGAAAGGTTGAAGGAGCCACCAAACAATTACTGTATAGAACGCACCCAAGAATAAGTTCCGACACTATAATCTCGGGGCGCGTTCGATTGAACATGTCTTATTTATTTCATCAAAATACTCATGGATGACTGCCCAGCCCGTTCGATCATTTACATTCCTTGACGGTGTTTTAACAGCAGATAGTTTTCGGTATTACAAAGTAATCTCGCAATGAATTGTTTGTGTATTCAATTTTGGTGACTCGATGGAAATGAATAGAGAAGAACAAATATTAGTAATAAAACCTTATCATCCGGATGATATACAGTCTAGCAATCAAAGTTGCTCCATATCATACACAACGGACATGCCTTATTGTCTATAGCTTTCTGTAAATTCTTGTTTAACAAAAAAACGTAATTTCAAAAGACTTAAGTACAAGGCAGTAAAATATTAGAGGATATAGAGACGGAAATATCAGTGACAGGATATGTTTGTGAGTTATCTCTTACAATGTTAAGTAATGATATAGTAACAAAATATAACGTAAAACACGCAAACTTCAAGTGAATTATATGGTTTATCAACCATTGGAATTACATAACTTTTAATCTTGAGATAAAACAGGAAAAAATCTTTCTTATCTTTGAAGAAAAAAAAGTAATTTTGTGTTTGTTTGTTTTAGTTAAATATCACGGTTTAAAAAAAAAATTGGTTTTTTGTTTCATTTTCTTTCAAAACTAATTATCTAGATAAAATTGGTAGGTAATAAAAACAGCAAGCTCCTATACAGTGTTAGGATCAGTAATGATAAGTGAATTTCGGTTAGACTTATTTATTGTTTGTGGAATACACACAAAAATAAATTCTTGTAAGCACGTGATTAAGAATAAAGTGTTATGTTTCCTTAGACCTCTATTAGTTTTTCCTTGGGTTTCCCATGGAACGCGTAGGACAAACAGATAGTCAATATATAAACGGAAAACCATAATATACTGTCGTATTCAATGATAAAATGTAACGAAATCTAATTAAAAAATCACATCTTTATTATAATCAAATGTTAGAAATTTTAAATATGGAAATTCAAAACTGTAATTTCATAAATTATTCAATATTTTGTGAAATTTAAATCTCAACAATATAGACTCTACTCTCCGCGTCACTGAAGACAAAAATAAAAAATAAAAAAAAAACAAAACAAAACAAAAACAAAAACAAAACGGTATAATGAGGTTCATTTTATAATTAGGCATTACTGTAGCTAATTCTAAAGTTATACTGGGAATGCCATCTACTTGTGGTTTTTTAATTTTTTTTTATTTTTACGCAAAAAAATGTATAGCATTAACTTTCACTAAAACCATGTGTCTATATCTATTGAAGTTAATATCAAGATGAAGTTGTATTTGCGGTATCGTAATGGTTTGGTCTTCATGATGTAGAATGGAAACTTTAAAGAAGCAAACGCTTTGTACATGTTTTGTTTGTTTGTTTTTTTATGATATTTAGGATAAAAAAAAACTCGACATTTATTACCATTGATCTCTGTGTGGCCCACTACATGACGGATTGTACAAGTGTTTCAATAATTACACTAACCATTGTAATGTATCATATGTTTGTAGGTGGTGTGGACAGATCAGTGGTCAACTCTGCTTACTTTTGAAATCCAAAGAATAATTGACGATGACAGGATCAGCGTGGAGCGGCCATATACCAAAGACTGGAACCTTCTTATTCATGAAGTGCGATACTCTGATAGGGGCCGGTATACTTGTCAAATCAACACTGACCCTATCAAAACCAAAAATGTTGTATTATACGTTTTAGGTAAGTCTTACTATGGCAATTAGTTCAGGATATTGTAGGGAAAGCATTTGCCCCCCCCCTCCCCCCCCCCCCCCCCCCCCCCCCCCCAAAAAAAAAAAAATTAATTTAAACAGCACATATCACCTGTTGCATTAGATTAAAGAAAAAACTTGAAAGAAAAAACATTAAAATATTCATTGAAATATTTTGTTGATTGACCAAGAAACACTGACATACACTAAACATTGCCAGTATTAGATATAACGTTGTTTTTTCATAAAGAATTACATTCATGTAAGATTTGTTTTATGGAGTATGACGTCATTTATACATTAAATATGTTTGGTACCAAATTAAGTCTGACTGAACTATATAACTGCCGTTCAAACACAGCCTGTATTTTCATATTCGATTTAAAATGACTGTATTTTTCGGTTAGTTTCTGTTTACGACCTAGGCAGACCTAAAAACCGTACACATCACATTTCATTTGTAAAATGAGAGACACAGACATTTCTAAGTCGTCTTTCCAAGCGCGGAAAACTCGCAACGGTTTTCCCAAGTTGATATAAAACCATCGCCACAGAATAATTGATTAGATGGTTGATATTTGGGAGAATCCTCTGTAACAAATTACAAGTATCAAATTAAATAACCCAAATAACAGAACAGAAGCTAACAGTCATAAACGTTGCTATTGTAAATAAGTGTTGGTGTCAGGGACACAATTATTCAAAAAGCGCATGTTAAAACGTTAGATATACAAAAATAGAATATAATTACCCGAATATATAGCTGGTCCAATACAATACATTATGCGCTTAAATGACACATCATGATCATTAGGTGGATTTGACAACGGTTTCCAGTTTACAATAAAGGTTAGGATGTTGGTCCATTTCGGTGATCTGCTTGTCCGTTACAAGCTGGTGTATTATTTCACTACAAAGTCTCAAATCGCCACATGTCCCTCATTCCTGTTGCTTTTGATTTAAACTTCTTTTTTAAAAAAAATACATAACCTGTTAAACCAATTTATCAGAATAATTGAAGAAAGATTTACGAGCAATATTTTTATTATTATTTGCATTCAGTGTTACCTTATTTTCCTTGTATTGTGCTGGAACACGAATTACAAATCACATTCTCCTTCACAGCAACCAGGACGGTATGTGATGGGTAATCTGTGATAATACTGATAACAAACAGGGCTTCATTCACAGAGAGATGATAACCAGATAGCTGTTAGACAATTCGCTCATTCGTGAAACACTCACTGAGATTCTCTGGTTGTCAAAATGTAATTTATAGCAGTCTCTCCGTCATTAATACGATAAACGCATTAGTAAATGATACTGTCAGTAGAAATGTGAACATTTGACGTTTAAATGTACATTTTAATATTCTATTGCTCACTGTAGTCTTGTATCACAAATAATAAAATTGTAATACAAAACAATCTTATATTAAAAAGAAGAATAAGATTCATCCAGATAATCAGGTCATGACTTGAGCAATATTTTTTGGGTTATTTATACAAGGGACTAAATGGTTAGATTTTAATTTGATAACTGATAAAAGGCATTATGATATCTTAATATCTGTCAGAATTTGTGCACTTTCAGTTAATTACAATATTTAAAAGTTTGCATAAAAACGTCAAAAAATCAAAATGAAATAGGAGCGACCCAACACTAATTCATAATCATAATAGTTCGGAAATTGTAAACAATGTATTTGCGCATGCGCGATGCGAAAAAAGGTAGAAATCATAACTATGATGGCGGATTCCAAATCAAAGCGGAGAGGTCCTAAGTCTCACTTAACTGAAAGTACTAGGAAAGAAAAGAATTCGTGATTTGAAATATAGGAAGAACTAGCTTGGGATATATGACAAACAGTTGGCATCAGTTGAAAGAGAGCGAGTGAATCCTACAAGTCATTCCTTTTCAAATGAATCACTTAGTTTGATGTTAAAAATAAAAAAAGTGTTGTAATTTTGTGAATAATCTAATTTTAAGTACTAGAATGCTTGTTCGAAACCAAACGCATGAAAAAAATAACAAAAAATAAACACTCAGTCCCTTTAAGACCAAGAAAGAAAGAAATATATCAAGTGATGTAATTCTATTAAATGACGATTAAAGTGATATTACGGTAAAACGACTTTTTAAACTGATTTTTTTCTCGATTACTAGATATGTATATCACCTAAGGGAGCATCGTCACCTATAAACAAAATGGTTACTCGCCTGAATGGGTCGCGACAATGTTGTCAAAGATATGACTTAATTCGTAATTCTGAATTGACTTAGAGCTATCAGACAGTGATTGCCACACCAAGAACAAAATCCAATGCTGAAAAACGGGACTTTACTTAACGTCTTACTTCTGTCACTGTCATTTCGTTCCGCATTCATGTGGCAGTGTTAGGAAAATGAACATCCTCGTTTTAAAAACTATGACGTGACGTCATCAGCACTAGATTTTAGAGAGGTTTCCCGAACTATGGACGTGGTCAAGCTGGCTTGACTGTGAACATCGGGATAACATAGAAACGTATCTGGAAGTATAGAAAATACACTACAATCAAGAACAACATTAATGTTTTTACCGTGATGTCCCTCTAACATTATGGCATACTTGTCAAAAACAATGTCAATGAATGCGTGCATGTTATAATCCGTGTATCAATACGGGCTGTCATATACTGAACTGAATTATTCCATGGATATGAACGTTACTGTTGAACTTCATGAGGTAGGACATGTACTAAGGGCAAATTGTGGGTGTTGTCATCAGGTTGTTGTTTGGTGCAAGTCTTCTATCAGAGAATGGTGTTAATCTACAAACATCAAAGATCAATTCAAAATAATTTCATTTGTCTATTTTTGTTGACGGCGTTGTTATCAAGATCTGACAAGAATGTTGATATCATTGCTTTTAGTTGCCCCGCGGATAGTCGATGAGGCGTCCACACGTGAGGTTGTAGCTCGTGAAGGCGATACTGTTACTCTTGTGTGTAACGTAACAGGAGTTCCTCCCCCTACAGTGCATTGGTACCGCCGACCTCTGGGTCAGAGTCTCGGAGTCAAAGAACGTGAGTACTACGTCACGATTTTATGTTGAAGTCACTTGGCCGCCGTTTGATGTGTAGACGTAAGTACAATATGTAAGTATGACTGAATGTGACATTAAAAGGTCACTTTAAAATCGATAGTAGGTAAGTGTACAGTACGGACGGGCATTCGACAAACAATATAACGTTTATTTTTCGATGGATGTATGGAGGTGTGGGTAGGAGGAGGGGTGATGAGAGGAGTTCATCACCGTTGGAATATTACATTACAAATATACCTGTTTAAGTGTAACTTTTGCTAACTTTTGCTATTGATAAAGCAAAGCTAGCGTTTTAAATTTTATTTGAAATAATAAAATAAGTGATATTTTCGATTCTTGAAAATTGAATTATAATCAGAGTGTGAAAAAGTCAGAAATTATACATCTTTTTAATTTACACTCTTAAAAACCATATCAAAAAGAAAAGATCTGAAAAAAACCAGCAACAACGACAATTCGGTATTGTGGAAGTTGATAATTGAATAGATATATCGCTATCTTCATTTGTATCTCGAGACATTTTATCATCGCCATAGAAACACGTCATCAATAAAAACACAGTCATACTCTTCATGGCATTACATTAGTGTTGCTCAAAGCAAAAGAAACGTACTTTCTTGTCGATGATAGCTAAACATTCCTTTACAGCTGGTTGTATTTCAGGATTTGTTGTCTTTTACTTGGACTGACCTGGGACCATACAGATGGAAGACAAATGCATATTGACAATTTAAAAGTATGGTCGCTAAGGAGAGGGATATGTATGGACCATTCATACGTGTATTCTGTTTTAAGAGTACAAGTATGAAATGGTTGTAAAAAAAGTCGCGCAAGGGCATAATGCTGTTCTATAAACGTTCAGAAACAATGTAGCCAAATATTAAATCAAACCGCACAATACAACTGTTTCGTCATTCTCGACAGTTATGCTTGAAATGATGCATGTAGTCTATGTAATTCACATGTACTGAAAAATTAATTTTGATGACAGCGTTATTAAAACAGGAAGACGAATGTGATGAAATGTGATGAAGCATGGAATTTGTGGATGAAAAGAAAATTTCAGACTCAAGCACGTATCATAAACTGCGTCTAATGCACGTTATTCGTAAAATATCTGCTATATGAAAAATACGAAACTGATTGAGTGATGAAATTTCTTAAGATCACAAAGGATATACTTCAGTCAACCCCTGAACTGCACAATTTAGGTCATTGCCCTTCTGTATGGAGTCATAGAAGGACGAAACAGGTGTATGGTGCAGGTAAATTCTTTAGTTGGCTCTATTGTTTCTAACCCTAAATTTATGTTAAGAGTTGATATTCATTTGTATGTTTTTGTCCAAAATATGTATAGATATTCATATGCTGTTGACAATACAGTTACAGATATATGTCATTAAAATCGGAGCGTTTGGCATGGTGTACGGTCACATCTGCATTGACCAATACCTTCTTTGCTATGCAATGTATATGACTATTGAATGTTAATGAGTTATTGCCGTAGGCATCATTGTTATTTTTATTCAAGTACTACCCAACGGTATATATACAGGACGATCAACGGATCTCATTTCATTAGCACAATTGTGATTTTTCACTGGAAATTAATCTATGCACACAAAGTTCAAATTTTGTTTGAGCTAAAAGATTATTTGCTTTGAATATAGGGATATTTCTGGAGTCGTCTATGTGTGCCTGTATGTTGACGTTTTGTTCAAATATTTGCCCATAACATGGTAAATTTTGAACTCGTTTTGAAGGACAAGCAAAATATTTCCGACAATTGTCTCTTGTTTCGAAATCCAAAGAGCCTCACTTAAGGATGAAATTGATGAACAATTTTCAGGATAGTTTGATGTACATAGTAATTTACATATATATTTCGATTGAAGCATTCTTTTAAACATAAATCTATTAATTGTTGTCATGTTATTTTTTTCATTTAATTGGATTGATGTTGTTTTGTTCAGAATTTACAATGTTTCATTGTATAGCAAATACTATGTTATATTCTCTTCGATGATTGAAATCATGACAAGGATGAATTGCTTCCTCTCCATATTTAAACATACGATTAAATCGGGTAGTTGTTAGGCATTGTAATTTGCCAACGGGACTTTCTTCTCAGCAAAATTCAGCAAAAGAAATTTTCACGAGATACCCTTGCAAATACAGGTATATCTATCTGTTCTTTATATATATCGCCGAATTTATTTGATTAGATTCTCCCTGTGTCATTTACTTACCTAATTTATATGTCATAGTCGTCTTGATAACGTTCAACAAAAACCGAAATAGAACGGATTACATTGCTGGTATGTGGTAAATATGGCAATGCAACCTTATGGGTTTTGTCATTCTAGCTATCAGTTACTGAGTTGTTACTGCATTGGTGTGTCAGTTGATACGTTATTCACATCACTGACTTTAGATTCAGAACGAAAAAACTACTACATGCAATGTATACTCAAACCATCTCTCTGTCAGCCATGATAACATTATGCTGTCTAGTCATCAACTATCAAATACGCATCAAATGTTACACATTATCTATAGATTATGGTGTTTTTTTTCTTTTTAATTCTTTTTTATGCCACGGATCACTCGTAACAAGTTATAAAAAAGTCACACCACGTTCATTTGAGTCTAAATAATAAATGAATATCGAATTAACGATAACACAGTTGTATATCAATTTTGTGACTTACTGGACCATTGCATGTAATTAGGTCGAAAAAGCTATCACACAGGAGAAGCAAAAATGTACTGTGCATTAATGACACTTATCTAATTCAGTTGCAAAGAGATTATTTTCTATTATGTTGGCAAAGATTTGTGTCATAAAACTTAATATTCGTCACTCCAGGAGTCTCATTTACCTAGTATCAAACTAATGTTCACGTCGTCAATTTTATAAGTAATCGTCTGTTGGTACTGATGACGCCATTTCATAAATTTACCGAAGGCGTATCGTAGTAATACGGACAGAATTTATTTCAAATTTCTCATAAATGTTTGAATTCGATCATATTTGCTTGGTATTGATCATTTCCATACAAGTTTTAACCATTAATTAAAACTGCGATAGGTATTGGTATTATTTCATCGGATTATTTAGGGAATTGGGAGAAAAAGAAAGGACAGTTCCTTACTTTGATAGTAGGAAAGAGAATCGTTAACATTGGACGGAATACCTGATTGTCTAACCTCACAAAGCCCAAGTTTAAGCAATCCAGGATTTCCTAATCGGATGGGAATTTACATTCTGTATCTTACCTACACCAAAAGTTATAGCCTATTAATCTTAACCAAAGTGTGACATTATTTTGCTGTTGTTATTTAAGTGTTTGACAGGGTTGCCGTGACGTCATTGAATTGTTACTATGACGTCATACTTTTGTCCTGTCAGGGACATATCTTTACTTCCCCCAAGCGTATAACAGGGAATTATACACCAGTAAAAGCGCCTATATAACTGTTCAAGGTATGAGGGAATATACTTTTCTTTCGATAAAGGGAGAAATGTATGACAAAATGAAAACATTATTAATTCATTGGTAAGAAACAATATTAACAAACTTTCTAGTTTGTCACTTCATCTCTAAGCATTCTATATATTTGGTTCAGTTTGGGTATTCACTAACTTGATTGGTTGTTTTGTCATTCTTGTTCATTGCTTGAAATTTCATGAAAATGTATTTTAAATAACCCTGTACCCTGATCATTACTTACAACGTAACCAATAGGACAGTTCTCCTTGCAGCAGTGTGAAAAGCTTGAAGATTTCGATTTACCCTTGAAGTATGTTACATACTATTACAAAGTATTCATTCCCTTGTTTGCATTTTAAAACGTAACATCTTTTACTTTGATTGGTTGAGATTAACAGACGCAGAAGAAAGTTACATTTGCGGAACATCTGTTGTTATGTTTTTGTACTTTTGTCAAGGATTTTCGTGTCTATACTTTTTTTTTTTTATTTTTTTTCACTTTCCCCTCATCGATTTTGTTAATTGTTTTTCTTGTCGTTTCTGCAGGACTATCCCTGCGTCCCTTATATTAGATACATTTACATGTAACATATACTCAGTCAAAGACAAATGTACACATGCACTACGATTTCGATTTTCGCTTACGAGCACACGGAATCACTGGCATTTGAGTAGATTACAGGGGAAGCTACTTGAAATGCTTAAGAATTCAGAAATATTATTTTAAGATACTAAGGAACATTCATTGCAGTTTCAAAAAAGAAAGTATGCCATACGTATGAATTTGTACTGACGTCCTGTAATATATTGATATAACGCTAGTCGTCGATGAATCTGAAGACGCTTCTGGAATATCTGGTCTTATAGTGTTTCCCAAATTCTTGTGTGTAAATTACCTGTTGAAATTTTTTGTCTTCGTTTCATCGATTTTGAGCTTGAGTTAAGATTTTCTATATCTTTCAGTTTTGTTCCGTTGTAAGCTATCGGAACATTTATGGTCGTGTTTACTGTCCAGTTTGTTTGACCAATCATTTTAAATCCTACATGTATTTTTTGTCTGATAAAGCGTATTGCAGGATGTGTACGTGCTACTAATCATAATTCACAAAATCATATCAACAGCCTGCAGGTTACACATTTTATATGAAAAGTGCTGAACACTACAAAGAAACAGGAGCAGAGCTATTGCTGTAGGGCCAAACATTCTTTATAGGCCATCATTTTTAATGAATATTCAAGCATATATCTAAGGACAATCTGTTATATTGTTTTCCCTTTATCTTTATTTTAGAAACTGAAATTTGCAAAATCTAAATTAGCCAATGACATTACTTTGAGGTTGAGAAGGGATATAGTTTTATCCAGCGCACGAATCCATAGTTTGACATACAAATGTGCTGAATATGTAAAAGAAAAATACCTTTTTATGTGTGTGTGTTTGTGTGTCATTTGTGTAGTTTCTTTGAAAGTGTAAATATCACCAAAGCTTTCCCCTAGAATAAAAATTGTCGAATTTCTAGGTCTGTGTCTATAAAATTAAATCTTTTGATGAGCATAAACGATTTTCATTTGATACTTTTTTTATTTTGTATTGTGATTTCATCCTATGTTCAATCATTCGCTTCCGGCCTTAAATTAAGATGTACTGAAACAACCCATCTCATGACTGACAGAGTCCGTCAGATCTACTGTCCACCTATCGCATGCTAGAGTACTGATGCCGAGCCACTCCTCGATAGATCATGACCCATTCATATATATATATATATATTTGTATATACATATTTATATGCATGCTAGAAGAAAACAACCTAAACTTATCCAGTGTGAATATATACCAATATAAATACAGTTAAATGCATGGAATAGTTTGAGGCAGTGGAGACAGTTTTAAATGTTGTATATCTGTTCCTCGATAGCTTTACTTCATTGTGTATTTTGCTTTGTCAGGACTGGAAGGACGAGGGCGCTCTTCCATAGGACCATGCACTTACAATCGTTCAGGTATTGAAAGACTTATGTGATATAGCCGTGTGTCATGCTTTTTAAAGTTTATGTACGTGACTGTCTTATCAGCCATTTGTTGACTGACATCAGCTGTACTCACCAGTTTATGCGGTCAGGGTTATTCTCTTTCAGTATTTGTAACTCATCTGCTGTACATCCTTATCATCAATGCTCAAACTTATCAGTATTTCCTTGTAATGACAAACATAACGAAAATTATTACCTGTCATTTTTTTTTTAGATAAATTCAATTACGTATTTCATGATTATGTTGATTTTGACTGATAAGAAATTATAAATTTTCAAAATGGCTATATTCATCCGTGAAGGTAGGATATACATATGTATCATACCTGTTCTGAGAAAATGCTCATTTTATCTACATTGAAGGTTTGTCTTTCTTATTTTGTGTTAATCTTATTTTTCCTATGAAATTATCATATTGTAGCAAAGCTTCAAAGATATGTCTTCTTTGCTGTTTCGTTGCTATATCGCTGTTATCCTGTCTTATTTTCTCCTTGATTTTTAAAGACGTATTTTCACAAATGCTGAATGAGAACATGGAAACACTGTTTTCTCGAGATATATTTCTTACGGTATGATTAAATATTGAAGCGAAGAAAAGGTCAAATTACTTTTGGACCATCACCTTTTACTAACAAGGTAAGTTATTTTACTTAATTGATACTTGAATAAAAGAAATTATGTGTTGCCCTCGGAGTTCAAATACGAAAATATAGCTCGAGTTAAGAGTGAAGATCGTATAAACTGGTGGACAGCTGATTTCCGGAAGCGGAAACATGTCACGTGAGTAGATTGTGCATGGCTTCCGGTTGCTCATCCTCACATTGGAGTTTTCACTTACTAACAATGATTAACAACCTGTTTAGACTGTAGTAAAAATACGTAAATAACAATGGTAATGTACTATTTGGGGTTTGATTTAAACGTTGATGTTTTTGTTGAGTTCTTTCATTTTTTTTATTTTGGAATTTAAATCGTTTCATTTAGGACAACATCATAAAATAATATACTGTGTAGTTAGACTGATATGTATTGAGTGGGTTGACAATATCTCTTGAAGGAAGATTTTGTTTATAGATAGCCAACCGGTTTTAACATAACGTAAATTTTACAAATATTTAGTATAATAAGGTCCTTTACTTCACATATATGAATAATGTAAACGCATTTTGTGCATTTTCACAGCAATGTGGATGAGGAGCAACCGCATTGTAGATATAGACTAGCTTTGGGGTCATCGTATCATAACAAACAGAAATGGAAAGATTATCTATCTTTCATACATTCGAACGTCTAAAGTAGACTTCCCATTGGTTGAAGTCTATGATGGATTTCGGTGGTGTCTGGCTGTAAGTGCATGTGTGTATGGAGGACGCAATGTTCACTGTTTGTGTACTGAACTACTAACACACTGACTAACACTTTTTTACTCTTTATATACATCAAGAATAAACATTAATTAAGTCTCAATTTGACCGCAGAGCTTTCTACATGTCTCGTTCGGATGTCGGGTTAGTATCGTTTCTAATTTGCAACTTTAGATGATGCAACGGTAGATGAAATATATTTTATTTTTCATTAATTAACACTCTTTGCGATATCAAATCAATATATTTCAGGTACCAGATACAGCATTGTTACTGACTAATTATCATTATTTACCAAATATATACAATGTCTTCATTCTTATTTGTCAGTTTTAAGACTAATTAAACATATTTAAATTTTGAAAGCTCTGTGTGTCAGGGTTACATATGATTGGCCATATTTTGTATATATGTATATATATATATATATACAGTATATATATATGTATAAAGAATAATGTATTTTGGGTATATCTAATAAACATGAGATTTGATGTCAATTATCACGAATTTGTATTATACGATATTAACCTTCTGGTCCTGAGAATGTCTCTTTACATGTTTTACTTTTGTAGCTGCATGATATAATGAAATGACGTAAGCTTATATACATATATATAAATGTATGCGCATACATTATTTTACAGACCTTATGACTTTGTATGATTAACTTAGTGTCGTTATGCCCAAAATCACAAATATTAAAAACAGATGAAAATGGTATTGATACTTAATGATTTAATTTCTTTGAAAATTATTAAGAATACATTGTTCTCTTAAACATTTCCACATGTTGCTATTCTTTTTCAATGGTTTTTAAACTCAAGTGAGTTGTTGTAAAGTCATCAAATTTTCGATTGTAATATAAATTTATTTCTAACTTGTTTTCTATTACTATATTTTCCAAAATATAAACACTCGAATAACACTAATACAGATACAAGTACATTATTCATCGGTACATAATTAAATATTTAATATCGATGGTAAAGATTACAAACAAACATTGTGATATAGTTATACCTATCTATGTATAACTATTTACCAGATAACATGATTATCAACTGTATTATTATCAAAAGGCAAAATATCTGACATTTCAAAAAACCCAAAACAACATCTATTTAATCCAATTATCACTTTCTGTCACATTTACTGACGACAAATTCGAGGATTTGTGTACATAACACTAATAACTGCGTTGGCATTTTGGTTTTGATAACATCGTGATCAAAAAAAATATTTGTTGCGCTGAAACGATTGTTCTTAAAACTGTATCCGAACGATATTTATTTCAAGGCATAGAATGAGCATGTATCACCATATACATCTTGTGCACTGCTTATTCTAAAGTCATTCCCATAATCAGCTAAGACGTTACATTACATTACATTCATTCAGTGTTTAAAGGTTAAAATATTGTCCCTTACACCAATACGCATTCATAGTATCATGCAAGATTAACAGAAAAATCCCCCAAAAATTCAAATATTTATTGTCATTATTTAATGTTTTGTAGGAAACTGTTATGAAAATGATTTATCTTATCACTGTGTGTATATAATAAATGAAACGTACAGAGATATGCGTGATTCGATTACATATATGTTGTGTGCTTATAATTGTTAAAATTTATTCTACTGAAAGCATTAAAATAACGATTAACTTTGATTGGATTACATCTTGCATTTATCATATAGCTGGTCGTGTTTGCAATGCAATGTGGAATGAGTGTTATTGTAAAAAGTGTTCCCATTTAACTCGTGTTCACCTGTCTTGTTTACAGCCATAGTGATACCCATGCAAACACCCTCACCAGCAGTCATAGGCCACAATTGGTCGGTAGGACGTGATGGTACTATATTTCTAATTTTCAGAGATTCCTCCGCTCCACCGGTTTGCTTCTTCTTCCCAGATAGTTAGCAGCTGGGAGATTAACACTGTCACATTCTCTTAGCTCAGCTGCAATACTAGAAACTAATGATCTTTATGTGTGTTCCATCATACTAACTTACCATTTTGATTAATCATATCCCACGGAGGCAACACATTCCCTTATCCTCATCAATGACCTTCACTAGACCTTGGACTTCATATTTGTTTGTGTTTTTCACGTGCACTGTTTTCAATTCTCATCATTTCTGATCTGGTGGCTGCTGTCTTTGCAAAAATCGTTTCGCACCAAATCTACCTCACCCGATTTGAATGGAAATGTCTTTTGTAGTTTTATCCATAACGAGAACCATCCTTACACGATTACCTTTCTCGAGCATGATTGGTGTTGTTTAATTCCCAAAATTAAGAAAAAAGATATAAAGAAAAACGAAATGAATTTTATTTTGTTTATATTTCGTAGTTTACACAAATACACATAATGTCTTTGTCTTTTGATTAAACTATATAATTGCAGTCAACACATTCACTATTCAGAGAAATCGAAAATTGAAGCTTCCATTACTTATCTGTTAAGCTTTCCATTTTGCTACAAACTCGCAGCAGCTGTGACATGTACATTTATGACTATGGGATCTGTTAACATCAGGATGTTTTAAAGGTAGAAATTTACAGAAGATAAAGACGAAATCTTATCTTTCTCCAACCCTTTGGCACACAGCTTCCCTGCAAATCAAAACTAAATCTGTTCCTTCTATCCCTGCTTTGTGTGTGATATCCAGATTCTGTTTTTCATTGTCAATATTTTCCGTTAGTTTTTGTATTGAAACTGTCAGTTTTAAAGTAAAGAAGATAATATCATTTGCATCTGTTAACGGTTTTGTTTACATCAAACGTCATTTCCAATGATTCAGTTTCTTTTTTGAAAATAATATATTTCGTGTGACAAATAAACAAGTATACTTTTGTTGTTTGACTAAGTAATATGTTTGACTTAATTTATAATTATAATTGTGTTTGACAAGATGGGTATGCATATCTTGATTTATATGTGTCATTTAAAGATGTTTCAATCTCTTTGAGAGGAAGCCTTAAGTCTGCTGATAAACACAAATCGTTGATGCGTAAGTATGACGTCATCGATTCAACAGAGTGGGAATTCAAGACAAAAACTATTTTAAGATGAAATATATTACACACACGATGATATAACATGTGACATTAATATGATGACAGTTATATGGACGGAACATGTTTAGATTATTTAAAAAGTTGAAAACCCTCTTCGGGAGGCTAAAACTGAGTTTTAAATATATTTTTGTTAATGTTTCTGAAGAAATCGAGCTAACAGACATGTTCAATAGCTACAGCAGGGGAAATGAGATGCGGGTGTACCTGCCCTCCATCAGCTCGAGATAACTAGAATTGGTCAGTGCGCATATACACGTTGTATGTATGTAATTAGTAGTGGTTTGTGTATGGATGGAGCTGCAGTTATATGTGCAAAGGTGTCATTTGTGTATCTGTTGTACATTGTGGTGTTTCTGTCAGTCACTCATGGAACGAACCTGTATAGTGAAAGTCATATTGAAATGCTGTATGTCGACTTGGCAGAAAAAAAAAACAGCTAAATGAACAAATTAACAAGGGTTTGACTTTTGTCAGACATAAAATTTGTGTTGGGCGTTTGGGCGCATTACTGGGCCATTTAAAAGGGATAATCTACTATACACGTACTAACGCCTATCTAACATGCGTTTGCCAAGTACAGTCTAACATTTGTCTTGCGATTGTTCAATATGTAATCATAAACAATTTCTGTATATAACGTATGCTTTATATTTACTATATATATATATTACTATTACAGTATATTCGCATATCTATTTCTATGTATTTATTCAACCGCTTTTGTTTAAATGTAACCATTGCATTGATATTTATACTCAAAAAGGTACACTTTTGTACTTGAATGCAAATATAAATTCGATTTTTCTACATATGCATTTACTGCTTAGAGTTTGTTAATTTTTTATGCATTTGTTTTGTGATGTCTTTTCGAAATAACAGTATATCAATTTTTTCGTGAAAACAAAATAAAACGAAAAAAAAAAAAAAAAACCAGCTAAAGCGTATGTGTTTACGTAAAGTAATAACCATCTTTCTATTACAGGAGTGGGGATGAATGGTGAGATCTTGATCATTTACAACGTCTCGCGGTACTGTGATGGTATTTACGAGTGTATGGCCTTCAATGATGTCTCGCCAGCTGTCAACAGGGAGATCCCAGTAGAAGTTGAATGTCAGTACTGATATACCTTATAAACATATAGCGGATTTCAGAAGCACTTATAATTTCGTTAGAAAAAACATTTATTGATAATGGTAGGGTACGGTATTTCAGTGTGTTCGTTGGTGTATATGCCTATTGTAATTTGACATCCGCTAGCATTCTGTAGACATTCATTACTTTCCGTTGATATTCGACAAAAAATGAGGAATCTACGCATTGAAAATTTAACAGTATAGGCATTGTCCTTATATAAGTTGGTTTTACTAACAATTTAATATCGACATTTCACACGTTTTCGGCATTGATACTGTGTCGGCGTGCAGGCTGTGTCGGCGCTGATTCTGTGTCGGCGTACAGGCTGTGTCGGCGCTGATACTGTGTTGGCGTACAGGCTGTGTCGGCGTACAGGCTGTGTCGACGCTGATACTGTGTTGGCGTACAGGCTGTGTCGGCGCTGATACTGTGTCGGCGTACAGGTTGTGTCGGCGCTGATTCTGTGTCGGCGTACAGGCTGTGTCGGCGCTGATACTGTGCTGGCGTACAGGCTGTGTCGGCGTACAGGCTGTGTCGGCGCTGATACTGTGTTGGCGTACAGGCTGTGTCGGCGCTGATACTGTGTCGGCGTACAGACTGTGTCGGCGCTGATACTGTGTCGGCGTTGATACTGTGTCGGCGTTGGTACTGTGTCGGTGTACAGGCTGTGTCGGCGCTGATACAGTGTCGGCGTTGGTACTGTGTCGGCGTACAGGCTGTGTCGGCGCTGATACTGTGTCGGCGTACAGGTTGCGTCGGCGCTGATACTGTATCGGCGTACAGGCTGTGTCAGCGCTGATACTGTGTCGGCGTACAGGCTGTGTCGGCGTGGATACTGTGTCGGCGTACAGGCTGTGTCGGCGCTGATACTGTGTTGGCGTACAGGCTGTGTCGGCGCTGATACTGTGTCGGCGTACAGACTGTGTCGGCGCTGATACTTTGTCGGCGTTGATACTGTGTCGGCGTTGGTACTGTGTCGGTGTACAGGCTGTGTCGGCGCTGATACAGTGTCGGCGTTGGTACTGTGTCGGCGTACAGGCTGTGTCGGCGCTGATACTGTGTCGGCGTACAGGTTGCGTCGGCGCTGATACTCTATCGGCGTACAGGCTGTGTCAGCGCTGATACTGTGTCGGCGTACAGGCTGTGTCGGCGTTGAAGCTACACGCTTATTCTACCGAGAAACCTTTTTCGCCTTTCACCTTTCAATAAGCTCCGTGCAAAATTATTTTTGCTGGTATTTTGCACTCTTTTCATGGAGTTTGAGTTTGAAGAGAAATTCAGTTGAACTATCGATATATTTCGCTAATTCTCAAGTTTGAGAATACATGAAATAAATATCGCCGATTTATGATTTAAATGATAAGTAACATCCACGTTCATTTATTTATTTCATTTTACTTTTGAAACAGTTTAAGGATATTTTTCTAGTCGATTCCAGATATATACATATATGTAGTCCATAAGTGTGCTCCCTGTCAGCACTACCTATATAATGGTTAGTTGCAAGGTCTTTCTGCTAATATTACCATAGATGACCTCGTGACTAGAACAGCCCTATAATCATGTTACCGCGAGAGTGTTACAACGGGCGGAAAGCTAGCAATATTGGCTCTGGCTTACTATAGATCTTATTCGCGCCCGGCATAATGAAATTCGACACCTTTTACAACCCAAACGAGTATTCTGTCATTTCTTAAATTCCAAATAATACATTTCTTCATTTGGAAGAACTAATGAGACTTTCTCTTTTCTCTGAGGAAACCTGTGGATGTTGGTTGTGTTATAAGGTGATTAATTTCGCTGTAGGTCGATCGTTCCTCACCACGAATCGTCAGACATGACTAACTGGCATTCTGCAAGTGGAAAACAGACGGTCGAAATTGTTATTGATGTCTAAATCTACCGAATATAGTTAATACTCGGTATAAATTGTTCATGACGGAAATTACCCAGACTATCAGTGTGTATTGATATATCCTTGTATCACAAGGATACAGACTATCGTATAGACTGAGAGACTATCATATAACACGGATATATACATATAATAAAATGTGTAACGTATTAAGATATGATATACTATCAATAATTCGAATACATTTTTTCTCCAAAACATAATATTACTGAACGCATATGTGATTTTATGTTTTGGAAACAAATTGTGAAAGAGTCGTTTTCAAATCCGTCTGTCATTAAGATATATGTTTTTAGTCAATGTTGTAATTATCTTTCTGTAGTTGCCCCCGAGATAGAGCTTCCAAACAAACGGATAGGACAGGAGCCAGGACGCGAGACCATGTTGGAATGCATAATCACAGCCTTTCCTCAAGCTCTAAGTGTGTGGAAGAGACACGGAAAGGAAATAAAGGACTCTAACAAACATAGACTAGAAGTCTACAACGAGGGGGACCATCGAATAACCCTCAGCCTTAGAATCATGGATATTGCAACCTCTGATTATGGCAACTATTCGTGTTACGCCTCCAATAAATTAGGATACGACATGGAAAATATGTACATGTATGGTAGGTCTGAAATGCCATATAAAATCACATATGACATTTGTATAAATGTGCTACAGAGCATAATAAGTCACCTGTGACATTTGGATATGTATGGCTGATCGGATTCACCATAAACGATCCCATAAATTATCAATTTGTGTTAATGTAAAATAAAATGTATTTCATAGGAACTTTTATTTTGACGGAGTGTTAACATTTGGGTGTGTACCATTTATCACGTTGAAAATTTTCAGGACACATTTAAAAAGAAAACTTTTACTTACATGCTTTATTACTAAACAATACTTATCAGAGTAATCAAGTTTAATTTGTATGATCAATCAAACAAGTCTTTTCTACATCAGCTTAAAACTAGAAACTAACTAAAAAATCATGTTTTCTTATAACGAAATCAACATGGAGAGCTTTTCTTGATACCATTATCCCTGCATCTCCTGTATGTCACAATTGATTCGATATTCAAGGGCCTGTTCCCATTATCACGATCTTCGTGCAAACAGTCGTCAACTGACTGACAAACGCATAATACAAGGTTTAAAGACGCAGGTTGATTCTAATTATGGGGAAGTTCTATGGTCACCATAGTGATCGCATTAAGAAATATCCTTTTTCTTATTGCGACATGAAGCTGGACTTATTTGATGCTGGTTATTCTACCGGTTGGTTCCGTCGTTGTACACCTTGTTCTCATTTGTGAACATGACATCATTACTTGGATTGACCAAGGTTTACATGCCGGGCATTGTTGATGAAGCAGAAGATGCCTACTTTTGCTTAACACCTGGTCTTATTCTCCTTTGAGTTTAGTTTAGGACATTATTTCTGATGATACATATTAGATTGAAGGTAGTAATTTGAATAAAAAAAGCAACTATGCTTTGAACAAGCCTGTTCGACTAACTTCCTAATCTTATCAAGTTAGCTGCTAAAGCGTCACTTCTTTATCTTAATAAATACTAATCTACTGTATGTAGTAAAAGTACATAGTAAAGATAATGGTACCGTACATGTCTTATATAAACAGTTGTGGACAGCATGAACATAAAACCAAATTTACTTCATCTAAATGATTATTAAAGATATAGATAAAATATTCTAAGAATATTTCGTTTCTCAAACGTATAAACAAGTACAATCGGTTTTCATTGTATATTGCGCTAAGTTGATCAATTTCGTTATATACTCTGAAACAACTGCTGATCTATCTTCCAAATTCATTGTTCATTGATGTTTGAACCATGAAATTTGTAATGATCAAAGGAGGAGGCTCTGTAGTTGACACCTTTGTTGCTAATACAGATCAACTTGTCCGAAATCTGCTGCAGAAACATGCACACCTATGCACATAATCAATGTTAACGATAAGTGAAAAAACGATGGCGTCCAATTGGCCGTCGTCGGTTTAGGTGTTGTGGTCTCTGATCTTCAAAGCATAATCCGCGGATGCATTGCGGAAATCCGTATGTGGATTGGTTCCCGTTTTGTATTTGAAAAAGGTGATAGAAGATCGAGAATAGGTTTCGGGTAATCAAAGATTGTATAAAAGACTCACAAGTGAATAGCACCTTTTCAAAATCTAGAGTAAGATACAGTATATCCAAACAATGAAATAAACTATATCACACAGCTTTTCCGTCCTTATAAGACTCGTCAGTGATGCAAAGGGCCTAAAGTTTAAAGCCTTAGAAGCGACTAAGGAAAATCCCTTATGATCGAAAGAAAAGTAAAAATACAGCGGCCTCATGATAAAATATATTTCGTAATTTTAATATATCAAATAATTATAGAACAGCATCAAAAACACGTGTACATTCGGAACCGTGCCACTTTTCGAATGAATTAAAATGTTGCAATCCTCGGGGACTTAAAATCCATCAGCGATGCTATCATCACACTAAGTAGCCATATAAATTCATTATATAACATTGAAACTTTATAGCATCAAGGCAACTATATTTTATATAAAGGATAGATTCGAGCAATAGTTAATGGTCTTTATCACATCTGTTATCAGCCTACGGAAGAAAAGCCCATTGGATGTAAAGCGAATTTATAAAAAAAGAAAAAAAATCCCAGACTTTTCGCATTGTTACACGGTTTGTTATTTGAACAGGTCTGAGGATAAAACAATTTCATCTTTTCTCTTAATATTCCAGATCACAAAAAAAGTCTAAGGACAACTACACGTTATCCTATTACAACACCAAGAAGGGTCACGACAGGGGGATCCTACAACTTTGACACCGGCCACAACAACAACAACAATGGCGGCACTGTTATAGAAACAAAGGGACCTAACCCATCCCGAGCAGCTGGTAATGATAAAGACACTATACTTGCCGACAGCCCATGGAGTAGTGGAATAACATGTAAAGGCAGTCTAATAGTTATTTGTACGTGAAACAACCAACGTTAAATAACTTAACAGATATGCATTGATAAAGCATGGCCGTTTGCATTACTTTGGGTGAAGGTTTAAAGATTAAATCTAAAGTAACAACTTCTCATTTACCTGTCTATCTAAAGGTCATGGTGAACATACCATGGTCTGTATCGGCATTTCGTGACATTAAGCAGCATGATTCATCTTCAACTTCAACTTCGATATTTGCTAATAGATAGTATTGTTTGTGTATACTGAACATATATTCATTACCTGTTTGATGATATGGATTGATGTTATGTTGAAAACAAAGTATGGTCGTTGGTTTTGGTTATCGGGTGGCGGTAAACACAGTCGTCTAAAGCAAAGGCGACCAGAATTTCACTTATAGATTGCATGTTACATGTAAGTCTTCTCTTACCTCCAATATTGAAGAGCTGCCCAATCATGCTTATTAAACTGAAATGACAAGCAATATAACAAAATATTTCCTGTTATTTATGATGCACGATTTCTGTTTACATAAGTGTTCAACTGTTGCGACTATTTCATAACATTACGTTAAAAGTTTGACAACAAAAGTACGTATTTAGCAGTGTTTTACGATAGTGGACTCTTCATCTGACAAATATTGATATAATATTGGTCAATTGACAATCAAAATGTGTTTAAATTTAACCGATGAAGTTTGCGATCAATCAAAACACGCTGTATATTTTTGTCTAGAAAATAAATTATATGGCTTTTACCATTAAACGAAATCTCACTAACGATTCGGTTTATAAACAGTTGCATTTAAGATTGATGTGTTCATGAAAGCCGACTGCATTGTTACATTTTCCGTTTTCCATGTAATCTGTTGTTTTATTCTGGTTTCAGGCGAAGGACCGGTGCAAGGTAGATCGATGGGAAATCGCGCTATAAGGTCAATCGACTATGCCTCCTTACCTGTGGTCCTGTGCTGTGCTATAATATTGAACAGAATTGTGAGAACGTCTTAGCAGAATGATATAAAAATAAAAATAATAAAACCCCATACTTGTACCAGAGGACACTCACCACTTGCAATTAACCTATGGTAACATGTACCGTGGAAACTGATCAAGATGTGATTTCTTCAACAGAGGGCGCTTTAGATACTGACTGGCTTAAAGAAGCAGACGGTAGTTCTACAAATATAGTGTATGTTCATATATCAGGCTGTCTCTGTAATAGGAAAAAACAGTCATATACGTAAAACAGCTACATCTTCCAAAATGAACAAAATGTGATAATGGTTGGGATCTGCACCTGCCGAAAGGTCACGGAAGATGGATATAATGTTAGAAAATGGATATCATTGCCAGAGGATAAATTAATCATTTACTTCCGGTTCATGGATATTTGGTAAAATTAATGCCTTCACGTTCTGTTTTGTTTTTCATTGTAACGCCAAAAATATTTATACCTTAATGTATTAAGCATTAGTATTGGCATATACAAATATATGAAAAAGAGTCAGCATATTTGACTTTACCACTGGGTTTCTGCTATTCGTATGTTCACTGGCATGTAGCGATTCAAAAGATTCAACAAGCTGAAGGATTTAGATCAAGCGATTTCGCTTTTAAAATCAGAAGTTGTTCTACTCTACGCGTAATGACGACATATTACGCGCTTTAAATAACGACGAACACAAATTGACGTTGTTAGATCAGCCAGAAACGGGTTAACTTCATGTAGATGTAGTGTTTCATGATATGATGTATGTGTCCAATATTGACAGGAATCTGATCGAGATAAAACAAATGACGGAAACTGATATCAAAAGTAAAGTTTAAATTTGATTTGAAAATGATTGTTATGCAATTAATTTCCGATTTTATATTTCACTCAAAGATCATTATATACATTTAAAATCTGTATAGTTTATGTTCAGATCCATTTCTTTAGTATTCATTCCTTTGAATCGTCCGTCCTCTCTGCAACACTTGGTGGAAAAATGAGATAGATTAGTAGTATGACGTCAAAAGCTTCAAATCTAGAAAACCGAAGCATAATTCAATTCATATTTTTCAAATTCGGTAACAACGTCATAAACATGTTTCGATTAGTTTGTTGGCGTCAACTGAAACGAAATGACGCCAAGAAAAGGTTAAAAACGGCAAAATACTAATTAGCTGTCATTGGATAAATTCATGAACAGGTGATATTGTATAGGCTTAGATTTAGAAGAGTGGTTGATCTTCGGAAAGAAATACTCTTTTAATCGATGGAGTTATTAATGATATAGAATAAAGTGTATATGTATCTGATGGCCTGCGCGACATGCAATGTGAAAATATGTATGCTTATATTTGATAGTGATAAAACAAGGAATCATATTTTCTAGAAGACTGTCATGTCGATTAAATTATGAACGAGGTAGTAATTAAAAGCGCTAATGTCGACCACATTGATGTATTAAAATATATTATAGAGTCAATATTGGGTTTTAGTCATGTGAAATAACAATGTGATCATGTATAATTAAGTATGACAGTGTAACGCGATAACAGTCTGTATGAATAACAGCACTATATACATACATTTATGTAGGTATGCGTTTTGATGACAAAATAAACAGTATCATTCTTACTTTGAAAATTGGAAAAAAATCATGAATGTTATAGCTATTCCATGTGTTGTATGCATGCTTGAGTGTAGCGAAGTGTGGTAGATCGTGTGAATGTTACTTATATCATCAGTGTAGACAGTAATGTCCAACCGCTTCCAGTGTATCGAAAGTAGATATCTGTAATCATTCTGTAACATAACCATCAACTCGATATTTTATAGTGTGTTTTATTAGGTATGATTATAGCTTGTATTTGAGTTATTTTTGTTTTACATCCATGTCACGCACTGAAAATTTCTCGGCTTATTGCTTCCAAATAAAACATGTTAAATGAATGTACTGAGAAGTGTTTTATCATATACATTTAAGTGATCACCTGATAATCAGTATTTAAGACATTTGCATATATGTATGTAAACATTTGAACATATTTATCGCAGAAAAAAAAAAGTTTACCAGAGACGCTTGTAAACTACGAGAATTATTCTGCGCCATTTAATTATGTACATAATTATTAATCATATTCATTAACAGTGTACATTTGCTCATTGCACCTTCATCACTTTGCATGTGTTATATGGGTGTGTTTGTTGTAACACACTGGCGAACGTTTTAAGTGTTGAATGTGAAGAATAACTGAGTGCAAGAAGTGAGTCAGTGTGACATTATATCCGTTCATTTATAATTATTAATGCCGATGTGGTCAAACGGAGACTGATGTGGTACATTAATATAATTGATAACGATACTGATAGTTGTTAAAATGAACATGAATTGTTTAATGTGCAATTGTTAAAACCAAAATTGTAGTTTTGTCAAGAGATAGTATTATGTTTTATGTGAACGTATTAAAAATGAGTCATATACCTGGAAAAAGTTGATAACGTAAAAGTATTGTCTTTCAAAGGAATAATAGCAATGTTCTCCAGATAATAGGTATCACAAATAGGCATACCCTATGTAAAATTATGTGAATGCAAAACAGACATATAACATTGATCATGCTAAAGGTTTATGTGAAAACAAGGTATTGTGTTAGGAACTTAAGGAACGAATAAATCTGGTGAATTTAAGCTAAAACGTTAGGCCAAGAAAACTAAAACATTCATTTACTGAAATTATCTCTACTAGTTTAAAATGTGCTGTATTATGCCTGTACATCCATCAACTATCGCAAAATTATGCTTATCAGGTGACCTAAAACGAAGCCAGAAAAAATATATTTGCATAATTGTGCATTATGATACCAATATTCAATAGCGAATAAAGGCAATTGGTAGCGGCATCATTCATAGCCGGAGTATGATAATTGAAAACTGTTGTTTGCTGTCGTATTTTTGTTCAAATCTAATAGTAATAATCAAAGTGATTGAGGGTATTGCTCGTGACGTCATTCATAAGTACACTTCATGGCGAAATTTATTTCCATGAAAATAATCAAATCAAACGTCTCTCTAATTGTGTAATCTAATGTTCTATTATACTGTTTCCATTTCATGGCCCGAATATGAAGCATGATCATGTTACAAATGAAACGTGACTTACATCGATATCAAAGTCTAAAGTATATGAAAGTATTTATGCCAGAGTATCAAATATTCTTCAGTAAAACATACAATTTATTTCTTTTTCCCCCTCAAAACCAATAACTGTTATTTTTCATCTAAATCAACATCAATATGTTTACATTCAAGATTCACAAAAACGTGATATTTTAGGTTAACGTAAAAGAGTACTTTGCTATACTGTATACGAGATTATTATGCTTCATTTCAAAAGCCTATATCGTAATTATGGGTTCTCTATATTTTGTTTCTTAAGATTAGCGAACACCAAAGAATCACTGTAGATTATTATATGACGTAAAGCATGACGTCATACACAGTAAGTACACTGTATTTTGTGGTCAATCATTTGCTGTGTTGAGTGAAGATTATATATGTACATGTACATTCCTTTGCATGTAGCATTGACTGAGACATCTTTACTATTTCATAATAAAAATAACAATTAGTTGATTTCATTGTATCGTTGGAGTATTTTTTCTAAGCCGGGACAGTTGCATAAGGATGGTTATTATTTGATCATCATTTTTTGGTGTGAATTGCCAATGAAATGTGGAAGGATTATTCAACCTATTACGGTTCAAGACACTAATTGTACGTTTTATGTGTAAAATCACACTTTTAACATTTTAAAGCAAAGGACAGCAAATTCAAAATACTCATATTTATGACAGATAAGCGACGGGCAGTTCCTAGTTTCATCGATCTAGGAAATCTGGTTTGATGCAATATAACAACACAAATTTATAGCAATACCTTTGTGTGCAATAAAAGAACATCTTTAAAAAAAAAAAAAAAAACTATAATCAAGACACATTTCGGGGCTTGGACATTGATATTTGATCGAGATACCGATTTTCAAAAGGCACATCAATAATTATAATTATTTGTCCAAGGGGAGATAACCCCTATACACTGTCTATAACTCAGGAGATTATGTAAATATATGCTCATACAAGTTAGAACTATTATTTCATGATAATATGGAGTCTGTTTTCCCGCAAAACCAAACGCAACATCCAGCGCGTTCAAAATATCCCAGCTGATCTACAGCAATTCAACACAGGATATAGATCACTTTACCAGAATACTGATTTTGTTTTTCCGAAATCTGATTCTGCTAAATCAAATGACCGGTGTCACCGCTGAAGCAGAAGACACTTGAATTGTCGCGACATCTAATCTTATTCTCATTTTATTTGTTTGGGAGTTTTCGTGTTAATATCTATTTATAGATAATATTAATATCTGTTTTTATTCTTCCCTTATTTATTTTGAAATTACAAACTTAGCTGTATAATACGTTTTACACAACAACTTTACTTACAGTACATGGTAAGTCATTGACAAAAAGAACACTTTTTGATACCTATGTCCACAAATTTATCATATTTTGTGCGACACAATAATTATTGTACTTGTTGCTAAACTTGCATTTTTAAGCCTAATTACAGAATTACAAATACAATATCAATACAGTATAGAAATACCATCGGATACAACAAACGTGCTTTTTATATTAAATAACATACGTAGTAGAAAATTAACAGGAGGTACAGTTGTTCATGATAAAAAATTAGGATATCAAAAATAGTATATATATTAAATAACATACTAATGTAGGATATCAAAAATAGTGTAGGAATTTTTATCGAAAAAAATACATCCATGATAAACAGTGTATACTGTGTATTAAGACCGCAGGTTGACTGGTATGTGAACAAATAAGAAAACGACAATATTAATTGATATATGTTAAGTATTTTATATGTTAACGACATTGATACATATTAATAAGTTGATACTAAAAATAAAATACATTTGAAGATTGAACAACATTATCTATGACGTTAGAATGGACAAGTTCACAATTACATATCTAAACATGAATAATGGCCTATAAGGAGATGAATTAAGAAACAGACAAAAATGAAGACAGGCGAACTCATATTTCAATATTGTTATACCGCTTGTGATAGGTACATAATATCTGTATTTGCATTTCTCGGTTTTGCTTCAACACTGAGTATCGTGTTGTTCAGTGAACACATCTAATAGTTTTCATCTGACTTTGTGTTGTTTCTTGCAGCATTTACAAATGCAAATTATGACATTATGAATAAATATTGAACTTCGTTTTCTTTCCGTACGAGGTATTTAACAATTATTTCTTATTTGTCATTAAGCCAAATTATTTCAATATTGGTAGTCATGATTAATATCATAAAACCTGACTATGAATATTCACATCAAAAATGATAAGAGGAAAAAAGAGAATTAATGTTATGTCTCTAAATACAGCGATTTCATACCACAGGTAGATAATTATTTTTCAAGGTCTTTATGATCAGGGAACCATTCAAATAATCTTATAGAGTATTACTGACTGTTCATACAATAATTGATAAAGCATATTATCCCCAAATTATTACACTCTACAACACTAATTAACAAAGCCAAATGTACGATATATTTAAACTGCTATTAGCTATTTAAGATAAACATTGCATTTTTGAAAATGATATATTTATTCAATAACGGAATGGTTTCTTCATATATATGTTATATCAAATTTGTGACCAAAAAGAAAGAGATTCGTGAATTTTCTTCCAAACCAATTTGTTTGAAAATTTTGCTTTATTTGTATAATGTACATGAAATAAAATATTTTTCTCGAGTCGCTGCCATCAAGTTCAAGAAAATGTGTTGTTTTGTTCACAAATAAAAATCGAACCATTAACGATACAATTTAATGTAAAGGTAATGAGTATCGACAAACATTAGAACATTCACTGGCATACTATGTTGGTAGAACAAATGGTAGAATGTTATCAGGAAGCTGTATAAAGTATGAGTATGAAGGAAAGCAGATCAAATAGACACAAGCTACTATGTAAGCATAATATATGGTAAAGTTCAGAACGTATATGTTCCCTTTAAGATACATGTAAAATATACTGAGCACATACATGGCACAAACTTAAATTGGAGATTACACAAGTTATTGGCACTACATCTTTGTCGAAGCTGCTGTCGTAAATATACCATTTGCTACTCCATCTGAAACGACAAAAATATTTCTATTTAAAATCCGTCTGTTTGTTTGTCTGATTTTTGTTTTTGTTTTGTATTTTGCTTTTTTTTTTTTTTTTTTTTTTTTTTTTTTTTTGTTTTTTTTTTTTTTTTTGTTTTTGTCTCCAGAATATCAGTTTTTTTTACAAAGAAATGCGGTCGATGTATGGATAAATTCTGCATTGTTACAGTATTTAGATATACTACAACAGGTGTACAAAGTTTGTTATGATGGTGTACTTTAACTTAGATCTTGATATTATATGGGAAAATATTCCTCATTTTCTTCTCATTTTTACATTTTATGAATTACGAACGAACAGAAAACTCCTATAAATCACACTGAATATCTGATATCACGTAAAAGCTCAATCGACGATAGGTACATTGTACTGCACGGGAAATAACTCGTATGGGTAATATGACCTGGAACATACTATCATTCTACCACATTTACTAATCAAATACTCTATCTAGCTTAGATGACGTTAATTAGCAGTAACCTCATAGGACAAGTCTATTGCTCGAAAATTCGCATGTACATGAATGTGATCATTAAATTCTGGTTATTTTTGTTTAACAATTGAGCAAGTGAAAAAATAAACAAATAACGATGTATACAAATATGTATGTATGTATGTATGTATGTATGTATGTATGTATTTGTGTGCGTGAGTGTGTGTGTGTGTGTTACATGCATAAAGCTTCACTTTAACGTTGGTTGTCCATAGGTTACTATTCATAAAAGTTATTGATTTGATAAGCCACCATTGTGTCAGCAAGGCTAGTAAACAGCACACAACTGTATCGCTTGACCACAGATAAAACCAACACTAACACTTAAGTGTCCCAGTATATAAATGAGGTCATCACAAGGTCATCATTGCCCACTCCGGATACACACACACTTGTTCACACTAAGATACCTGTAAATAGCTTTAACATTACAAATCAACAAGCTGATCGAACATACAAATATAATTCCACTATATCTCATCATATTCCAATCTCAGGCTAGCTATAGGTGTACAGCACAAATGGTCACTCACGTCATTGTATGTTGTATGGCGTTTCCTTTAATTCTGAAAGTTCATACATACTCTATCTCGATAATGTTTACAGTATTTAAATTGAGTTTGAAGATTTAGTGGTTTGACAAAAGAGACTTCTTAAGAGGAATTTCTTATCGTAAAATTATTATATTAAATTCTGATGCTTATATCCAAATGAACTTTACTAAGTAGCCTTTGTGAAATTTTATATCAAAATGGTGTCGAATATTTTGGGACATTTAGATAATGTCGGTAGAATAGACGTTCTTATAACACAACCAGTAGAAGGTTACAGTGTGACGTTTCGATGACTACACGGTCACCTTCATCAAGCAAAAGACTTTGTTTGGATAAGAATGAATAAAATCAAAACTGAATGACAGATTATTAACCAAATTGCATCTTGTAACAAAAAAAGGAACGTTGTTATAACGAACCTTTTTGGTATCCATGGTTGATGAATCCATCCACGTGTTTCTCGCTAACAGCCCTATCAAGGTCGCTTATGACTTCGTCTTCCTTTAGATTTTCATCTTCTGAAGGCCAGTGGTTTTCTATTGTGATGACATACACAAGCCATCCTAAGAGCGACCCCACCATCGGGCCCACAATTGGCACCCAGAACCAGTTATAGTCCCGATAGCTAAAACGTAAACACGTAAAGTGTTAACACTGTCAGTAAAGATATAAAACATTTCCAAGGCAAACAAGACCTGTAATATAAAACCTATTAACATATTTTCACTACTGATAACATCGGTTTTTTTGTATGTGTGATAAGTCTGAATATTCCACAAATTGATATGATCTCGAGTGATATCACATCCCCGGAAGTGATATGACAACCCCTTGAAAGCGATACCACAACCCCTTGAAACCATAGAAAGTGTTGTCACATTCCCTCTTAATTTGAAAAAAGCCTCTTCTTCTTATCGTTGTCTGATTTGAACATAAATATTGTTGGCCTGGAAGAAATGCGGTTTTTCCTTCGAAAAAGAATTTGAAAACCCCGCTCAAATGTCCGTATGGTGCCGATTCCGGATTGGTTTCCCTTATTAATGATACAACTACAGCTTTTAGTCTGCGAATGGTGAGGCAATGTTAGAAAAACTTGTTGCAAGAATTGTCGAGTTGGATGAGTTAAAGAAAAAAAAAATATGATAAAGAGACAATTTTGATATCACACCCCTTACTAGCAAGAACGTCCTGAAATCAGTCAGAGGGCCGAAAGCTGTTATCAGGACTCGAGGACTGAAAAGGAGTGTGCTACAAAAAGAGTCATATAACAATCTTTAAATATTGGCCGTGGACACAATTGGAAGCCAATCTAGAAACATCAACAAGGAATGTATTATCGGATTCGAAAAGGTTGTACTTTTCAATATGCAATATCGATATTCAAACAGAGCATCTCCATACTGTACCACTATATACGTGAATTGGACTTTTCTGAGTTTTTATTGTTAATTTTGATTGACTTAAATCATAGCGATATTTTAAATGCAAACATACACATACCTGAATGGTTCTTTACCCCACCCTGCCATGGCTGTGAAAATCCTTGGTCCGAGATCCCGCGCAGGATTGATAGCATAACCACAATTAAAACCAAATGATGTGCCAATGGCAAAGACAATGGATCCTAGAGCAATTGGTTGAAGTCCTATACTTGGCAGCATGTTACGTTTATCTGTTATAGCCAGTATACAACTGATCAGCAGGAACGTTCCGAACACCTAAATAAAAGGAGACCAAGGAAAAGTGGCAAGGAAATTTAAAATAAGATAGAAATGTACTAATCACCTAGATAAAAAAAGGCAACAAAGTGGAAATTTTGATACTTCATGGCAAATGGACGGAACCAAGAGACCTTCTTCACTGGGGCGAATGCTCTAACAAAAACGAAAGGCATTCCAAGGGAGATGTTTGGAAGAAACAAAGTTGTTTAAAAAGTAGTAAATAAGCACTTTTTATGAAAAATGAAACAATGGGAAAAACACTGATATCTTTATTGCCGTTCAGAAAATTATACTAAAAGGATATTTTTTAAACATCAGAATGAAACGAATCAAGCGGTAGCGATGGAGATACAGACACAGACAAAAGAGGACGGCAATCAAAACACATGAGACGCGATGGTCAAGACGATCACCGCAATTCGAGGAGGATAAGTAAAGCACATATGTTCATACAGAACAATGTACTCCGTTATAAGCTAAATTTGAAGAGTACAAACCCGTCAATGAATCAACAATAACTGGATATTTTTAGGTGAGTAATACACAGACACATACAATTAAAAAAACAAACAAACAAACAAACAAAAACAAAACAAAAAAACTAAAATTTTATGATACCTGGTCAAAGAAAGTGCTGGTAGTAGACACAAATTCCTGTGGATACGTGGCGAATATCCCGGCAGTAGCGTTCACTCCTGTGGTTTGTCTATATCCAGAATCGTAATGGTTGATGGCATCTAGTATACATTAACAAAGGGATAGATATTTATCAAAATGTTTCTATGTATGTCTTATTCAACTTAGTCTTTCTATTGTCAAGGACTAAACTCCGTATTACTTAGCTACTAATGTACTTTGGGTACTCTTTATTTCTTCACTTACTTTTTTCTTAGTTATTCTAACAACCAAATAGCTAAACAGGGAATATTGGACCAACATAAAACATATATTTTATCAAGTTTTGTTTGTGCTGTGTTCCCGTCTATCCATATGTACATTGATGTGTTTAAACCGTATTGTACATCCCATTGTCTGTTTGATCTTTGTGTTCCATTTAATTATTTCTTATTTTTCAGATTGCAGTAGCACAACTTCTTAAACAGAGTTCAGGTCAGGACGACCTATAAATCTGTCTAATGTTTATGACGGTGATATAAAATATCACTGCGATGTGCAATATAATAGTTATTTTTGTTGTAAACACGTCATACCTGTATTGTTTGACGATAAAGGACAATACTGACCGTAATATATACCAAACTGGACGGCGGCGGCTGTAAAGGCCCCGGCTAGTTCCGCTATGGTATAGAACGGCCATTTAAACCAAGGCACGATCCCACGCAGGCAAAGAGCTAACGTCACGGCGGGGTTTAGTGACCCTCCTGCCCGAAGAAACGTAATGTCATGGAAATAAATCAGTTTGATACTTACATCAAACGTAAACAAACAATACATTTCACGTCATCTATTTCAGATGTATAATTATTTATGTGTTACCAAAAAGGAAAACTTTTATTTGCTTTTTTTCATCCAAACAAAAACAAAAAGAAAATTGAGTAAATGAATAAGTATAATGGAGTATGGATTTGTTTCATGAAGTTTTCATTACGTCACAAGGTTGATAAATATATCGTCAAAGTGATTAATGGTTGATATACATGATTTGATGTGCTTTGTCATCTTACCTGACAATGCGCCTTACCTGAAACGCCCCCGGAGAAGTAAATTCCTAGCGTTAATCCCATCCCACCGGCGAAATTAACAGTGAGAAAACTGCTGAACTCTTGACGACTAAGAACATATTGGGCACCAGAACCGATAGCAAACGTCTGGGAAAACATATAAAGGAATCAATAAGACAATCTATGTATTTTAAAGCATTGTTTATCCCTATGCTCCAAACACGGTATTTCCGATGGTTACTTGCCTTAACTTACCAGTCAGCTGTGTGAACCTTGTTATGTATAATAATATGATTTCTATTTCGAAATAATGAATTCTTGTTTTGTTGATACAAAAAATAATTCCTCTACCTACGAGAGTTGATCTTAAAACCACGATATATATTTTAAATAACAATCTCGTAATATGAAGAAGTTGGTTGACCGTTACAAAGATAACAGTTTTTGCTGTAACATTGATACATTTTATTCAATCTGTTATTGTGTTTTCTTTTTACTTTTACCGTATTTCAGCTTACGTCAATATTTTTCTTTTTCCATTTTGTTTCTTGATAGGTCAAACATCTCATTAAGCAGAGGAACGTATCATGCATATAGTTTAATACTTCTGTAAGATATAACTTAATCCTTATTGACATCGTAAACATTATTTGACTTTCCTTTCGGCTTCATTATAAATCATACCACATTACCAGCAGCCTTCGCCAAAAACAAAGATGAACATGGATAAATGACAAACATCCAGAGGCGACAAATAATGCAAAGAAAATATCGCAATACCGAAACTCGCAAATCAAATTTACATAGGAGTTTCATAACAGTAAATAGGACTTTTTTTTTTTTTACAAAATTTAGTTAGATAAAGAAGGGCAAAATCATTGATTAAAATGCATCATACAACTATTTCGTCACTCTGGTATTCGTCAGTGATGCTAAGGGCATGGATATTGAAGCTTAGGAGGCGACTGTGGAAAATCCAAAGTGATCGAAAGAAAAGTCAAAATCTAGATGGTAGGTGTACTAGCCATATAGTTCAATACATGTTGTAATTTTCGTATATCTGACAAGTTTAGAATAACATCAAGTACACGTGTATATTTCTATCATTTGCAGTCCTTAGATTGTACATAATCCACACAAATGAATAACACCTTTAATACAAATTTGGTGAAATAGATTACGGACCAACAATGAATTAAATTGCATCATGTAGCTGTTTCGTTCTTCATTCAGAAAATTATCTTATATGTTTTCAATGACGAAGTTACTAGAATATTAAAAAACAAATGATTTACAGGATTTGTATATAAATTAATTTTTATCTTTTACATCGATAAAGCGATATATGCTACATATTTTTTCAGTAGTTAGCTAGCATCTAGAGAACGCGTACCATGAATGTGGAACGTTTTATGCGTTCATTTGAATAACACAAGATCTAGATAACATGCCTTTGACTATTGCAATACTCCGTGACGCCTTTAAAAGTGTTTATACGTTGTTAATTGACTTGTCTTGACTTCACTTTACATATTTGAAATTCAGAAAATAGATGCATTAAAGAAGGATAAGCATTTCCTGTTCAGTCGATAAGGCTGTTCCAAACACCTGTCGAAAAGTTCCTGTCGCATTCCTGTTTTCACCTGTGAAATCTACGCTGACTCGATGACAAAAATACATAAAAAATTTCACAATCCAATAGTATAAACCTTTAAACATCCTGACAGAATACCCAGATAGTAGAAATCAAGGAAGAATATTAAGGAAGTGGTGACAAGGAAGGTTCGGGGTGGAATGGTATAAAGGAAGTCTTTTAATTCTTTTTATGTTTGCAATATACTGTCGTTATCTTGTTACATTTCGAGAAATATTTATTATTCGTTTAGATTAAATATTTTACAATTGGAAAAGTGCATTTTTATGTAATGCCGAGAAGTGAAATAAGGGAAAGGTGCCCAACTATGTACATTGAGTTTTGTGGTCTTTGTGTCACATATAAGTTGTCATGGAAAATTGAGATCACGATTTAATGTTGAAAGTATATGCCTTCAGAATCTAATAAGGAATTGTTCATCATGGCGCACAGTCAGCTGAAATTATATGTTTTGCTTTATCGACACATACATCCTTGAAGACAAAATGATAACTATTTCAGTGAAAGTTTTTTACCTTTTAAGAGCCATTACACACGATCTAATAGATTAAATAACAAAATTTTAAAGCACTTAACACGATATATGTATCATATTATAGTCCTTACTTTTACGTTTTACCGATTACATTATCAGATTACCATGACCTGCTTCTGTGCTTGACAACCATACTATTTTGAAACCCTCGATTGATGTGTCCTTTCGTCCTTACCACGAATACATGTAATACAGAGGGATAACTGATCTCCGACTGCAGTTTAGATCGATTGTTTATAACGCTTTAAAACCATAAACGGTAACCCCAGGTCAAAACGTGTTGATATGGAGTTTTCGTTTCAAAGATGACATACAAATATCACATAGAGTTATATTTTTTCTAGTTAGTTTCTGTTCAATATGATATTAAAACATATAATTAATTTTTAACTTATATGTCATAAGATTATGTCGTATTTTTGATATCATAAATTTTAATGATATTCTACTTCACCTTATATAAATTCCATTATCTAATATTATAAATACTTATATGGGACAATAAATTTCCGCTTGACATTACTTACTAATATACAATAAATTGGGTAAATAAATCCCCATCAATATGTTATTGTGGGTATCTTTAAGGCAGTTTTATTATGGCGTCCGGAACTTTGCTTTTTCCTCTTGGAAGTTATCTCAAAGTGGAAGTATTTATGATAAGACTTGACGTCAAGTTCTGAAATAGCAATGGAGACATCTGGTTATAATGTCAGTGAAGAACGATGACCACGCATTCGCCATTTATGGCTTATGTGCTGCAAGGTCGTCGTTATTGACTTAAAGTTTACAGCATGTATGTCATATAACGAGGTTTCAAAATCTTTCGTTCTATAATATTAACTAGATTTTGTATGAATTTGTGTTTCAAGATTGAAAAAAAGAAGGTTATAAAAAAAAATCAGAATAACAAAAAAAGCAAAACAAAACAATAACAAAACAAAACAAAAAAAAAACAAAAACAAAAACAAAAAAAAATACATAAACAAAAACAAACTAACTAACAAACAAAGAAACTAAACAAATTAAAACAAAACAAAATTGGAAAGAAAGCATTTGGAACACCTGAGGAGACAATATAACTAAACGAAAGCGAAAATTAAAAGGAAACATACGATACTATTGGAAACCCTCCATTTTGCATGCTGTGATTTAACGAAAGTTCAAATATCAATTTGACAATTAATTATTATCTTTTACTTGAAACTTTTAATAAAAAGAGATATATACGGAGAATATTGAAATGGTGTGGATGTAACAAATTTGTTAACTGACTGAGATGTTGCATTATAGAGTTTTGGTGAATGAAAAAGCTAGATATGGAGTTAAGCGAGAGTGACGACATATACGCACATCATTTCTCTGTTTATGAATATCTTTTCGACTTAATAATTTTTCTTCATGGAGTTCCTAATGTGCAATATTATCTTACGGTCGTCATGTTTGTCAATCTGTATTAGGATATTCTGTAGTAATTTATCAGCCAAACTTATCAAAGATCATAGCAGTAAATCCTGAAGACTTACAAATCATTTGATTGTTGTATCTTCCGTATTTAAATTTATCTTGTCGACGGAAGTAAATGTCATATGTGTCTTGGACTAATAAAAGCCAGATATCACAAACGACAGCTCAATCCAATTTGATAATATATGAGGCGATCTAACAAAGCGGTGACAAAGAGGTCAGGACAGCTATCCAAAACTCACAAGTACGCTGGTCATAAAGAACAGGAATCTTAATCCTAAACGAGACTGGAAATAGCGAAACGTTATCAGAAAGGCTTCCAAGAGGAATAATTGGATTTCATTTCTATCGTATTTGCATATCAGGATATTGGAGGCTGGTTCGATTGGTAGTTTAAACATATTTCAAAATATGTTTCTATACTTGATTTTACCATTAGATAATGTCATTTTATTTGATAAAATGTCTGTTCAGCAATAGGTAGCTTATTGGATACAATACCTTGATAAATATATTTATTATTTAATTTATAGCTCCATCAGATGATGACGCACAAAGTACAGCATATAATTACATAACTCACCTGTTATCTAGTGAATTCTATGTCACCAATGTAATATACCCTGAATAACTTTTCACTAGCTGTGCCAGTTTGAGATCGACAAGGATGTCATAATAAGGATAATAACATTACCTCGTGAATTGAAAAAGGCACAACAAATGGCACATACCTTTTTATTTGGTCATTCGAATGTTTGACATTAGGGAGTGTCAAAATGTACATTTTATAGTTATATGATAAAAAGTAGCTTAACTTTGATTTTATTACATACAAGATGCTATATAACTAGTCTGGAAGATTTAGATTTTGATCGGCAAGGTTATAATTTTGTTTTCAAAATTTCGTCTGAATCTCATTTCAGATCCTTTTATACACGCATTCATTTTTGCAAAAACCAACCACACAACAACATGTTATAAATGAATGAAAATGATGAAGAACATAATGACTTAATGACTAAATATAGCAAAATACGATATCAAATAGCGTTGCATAATTAGTGTGCTAAAGGTGTCGCTAATGCTGTGGTACCTCTCAGGTCTGCAAGAAGTTTGGATACTTTGATATCTCGAAATGTGAAACATATATTGTCTGCACTTGTGAAATAAATTAGACTATTATATTATACTTAATGAGACAACATTAATGTCTATGAAATTAATGATAATTACCTATATGCAGTTACGCTCCATATTTGCTGATGAAGCTTAGAAAACTGAATCGCAAAAAAACAATCCTACAAATAGCGAAAAGTGCTAATTCGTGAATAGATATTGTGGATAGATAGTAAATGCAAAACAACATAATTATGTTATTAATTATGTAAGTTCTTATAAATCACTATAAAACCGATAACAAACAAACAAATAAGTCAGGGTTACAATTTTCAGATCTTGAAGTTCCAATGGCAAATATGAGGAAGGATTACAATAAAATGTATCGGTTTTCTGTAGAACAAGAAGTTGTGACATACATGTAAGATATGTGTGAAAAGTGATTTTGTATGAAATCCTTCTGCTTCGAACGATTTTGGGTTAGAATGTTTGCTCGAGTGTCAAGAAAATGGAAACTGACCATGTAAGTGAAAATAATATGCATATGTGCATAATAGAATCCATTGCCCCTTAGTACACTATGTAGTTTTTTATTTAAGTACTGGTTTTGTGTAATACATGTATACGTTTGTACAGTCTCATTAAATAATCTCGACAGGTGATTTTCATCCCATTTCCATTTGATTTTGAGTTTATTCTGCTGAAGTGTCATTTTCACAAATGAAAATTTTAAAGCGGTGTCATAATGATACACTAAAACATCTTTCCATGAATTGGCGCTGACGGATATTTAATTGGTAACTACATACATTAATGTCCCAATTCGGCAATATCATATCCAGGTATTGTTATGAATAGTTATTTTGATGAGAAGCTTTATTATGCTTTTAATAGCCTGTGACTTCGATTTTATTAATGAATGCCATTTACACATATGTATTTCTAATGTGTAACTTGGGAATCCTATAGAACAATGATCTAAAATAAATGTCTATAATTGACGCATCCATGCCTATAGATAAGGTTTATTATGGAAAACATTTCTTTTTTAAGGAGAAAAGGTTCATCCAGTAGCCCTATACATATCTGCGAGGGCTTCAGATTTGGCCATTGGCTCTTCTATCCATGCTTCAGGTTGTGTCATGTGGAATTAGTGATTCAGTATCATCACATGTTAACATAACTGAGGGCCAAATTATTCAAAAGTTAAAACAGGGATTGTCTAAATATTCATTAACAAAGATGTTCTTTAATATAACAATGTAAGGAATAATTAGATATGTATCATTTCAAATTCATGTTTTAACATAATACTTTTGATAGAATGCATAACGACATACCTTCCATTCTTCTTCAAATTTTCAATGTAAGAACGCATTAGAAGTATATTTACATGTTAAGAAAATTGAAAGTCAAGCAATACGAAAAAAGAAATCAAAATATACTCACAACAAGTATGAAAGTCCCAATATATTCAGCTACTATCTCACGGGCTAACGGATTTTGCAGTCTCAAGAATTTCTTTATAGAAGACATGTTTATATTTCACTGAAGTACTTCCACGCCAGGTCACTCGTCCAGCCTGTATACATCAATCTTACTACACTTCTAGTAAGCTCTATTTCCGTTGGTGTATATCATTCCCTATCAGTTCGACTGATAAACGGGAGTATTGCTCGCTTCTTATAAGAATTTGGGTGACCCAACTAGGCCAAGAAAAAAAACTGTCAATGTTGATGTCAATTATGAGGTATACTTATTTGATTACAAAGTAAAGTGGTACAATCAAATAACACTACTTTATTAAAGATAATTATAAGTATGTGATTACTTATTAGATATACTGTTTTCAGTTAATCAGATATTGTGTTATTTAGATTTTCCTCAAAATTTGTATATAGGATTTCCTCATTCATTTGCCAGTTTGCAACGTTAGAATTATATTATAACTGACTTTGTATCGCAAGACCAAATTACCTGTTATACTTACCTGGTGTACAGCCACTTGTGCGTTTGAGTGGCAGCGTAACAAGATGATGTGCCCTTGGACAATGCAGTCTTCCTACAAGATTTATTGTTGAACTAAGATGATACAACATGTTTGTGTTAAGCTCTGTCAGTTACAATGTCCACTGGTGCTTAGTTGACAGTAAATGTGGCAAATAAGTAATTTTTAGACATGTACGTAAGCAATCTGGACAGTGATGGACAACCGCAGGGTTTGCTGCTCGTCAGAAGCATAACAACATTATTATACATATTTAACCTTTTGTATAAATAACTGAGTAGTTTTTATATCTTGTTTAGGAGTAAAGAAGACCTGTATTTGAAGGTCTTCAAAAATTATCAGACATATGATCAATACGAAATCTACTGGCTGATACACCTTCCCCTCTCGATTTTGACTTTTGTCGATCAGTTTAGACTTTTCTCATTCGCCTCCTAGGTCTCAAAGGTTAGGCCCTTGTCATCATTGACGAGTCCTAGAACGACGAAACAGTTGTGTGACGAAGTTTGGTTCGTTATATGGCTTTAATGTATTTAACTATATGCATACTTTTCCTATTATATTTAAATTAACGCACTTGTAAAACGTCCATGTACGTGTACTTTATTTAGAGACTTTACTTAACACCTTATATTGAGTAAGAATATTGCTATAGTTCAAAATATGCACATGAAGTTAATTTTTCTTGAATCTTATCAAATGTTGCAGGCTGCGCAATTATGAGGTTCATGACCGCCGTGATTCTGTTAAAATCAAATCTGGATATTTTTATTTTACTAAGTCGACGCTTTGATTTCTTTACATTATTTCTAGCACAAACGTAAACACCTATAGGACAACTAAGGAAAAAGAACCTTTTTCTTATCAAAAGGGCAATTTTATTGTGGTGACTGCAGGATACTCCATAATGATGAACCTTTCAATCGTCCGATTTCTTTAAGCAATGATTTATTGTGATATCACTACCTTCCTTTTTGAGCTGACTTCCCAGACATGAACACATACGATTTTAGTATTCTTTATGATATTTGTGGAAACGCGGTCAAGGAATGTGCTTATAGATTTGGAAATGGAGAAGAAAGTTCTCAAATTAGTTAGATTTAATCACACAATAGTTCCTTATCTTGTTGCAGAATCATTATAATAATCAGATCGAAGAAAAAAAAAACAACTGATTTATGGTACGTGTATGTGTTACAAACATACATGTTTTACTTCACACTCTAGAATACACATATGATTTAATTTATTTAATCTGATGTATACAGATGAAATAAATACATAGCTAATTAGCAACCGTGTGAAAGTTAATTATTAAACAAAAAACGTGGAACAAGCGTAAACAAGTGTGCAATATGCCGATTTATGGGCACTGCCAAACCTATCTATAGAGGCCACCAACGGGAGCAGAGAAAACATTGTCTTTACACACTGGTGACCTTTATAAAGAGGTTCAGTTACTTTGAATTGTTTAACATAAGGAACCAAAAAAGGGCGTTTTCCGACAGGTGACCTTTGCATAAAGGTAGCTTTCAAAACGGGTTTAACTATAATCCTTGTGTACAACCACTCGATAAATCATAATGAAATATTGCTACAACCACCGCAATTGATATATTTCTACTTCCATTCGTCACTCGATATCTTATTTATATCAGACAGTTTGCCACATAAGATACGATCTGTAAACAGCAGGGGACTATATTTTGACCTGACAAGTTCAGGTAAAGTAAACGCTGTTCAACATTTGCTCAATAATGCTGAAGTGTATGTTATCTGGAAATGTGCTAGATAAAATGGTGGATTAACCGTGGAAAGTGCAATTCATGTCAATATTAATATCAGAAGTTACCTCATCAAGCATTCACTCACCACTGATTTGATTGTTGAGTAAATATGAAGGATAACTTGTTCATATGTAGGTTAGATAAACAACGATCAGGAGAAACATTTCTTATTGTTTTACAAATTGATACACCTCTTTTAATCTTTAATAAATCCGTCACAAAGGCTTAAGTAGTAATTTACATTGTTGTAATTTAGCCATTATGACAAAAGATAATAAACAATTGATTCGATCAAACAGCTTATACTTTTTCAGAAAGTTTGTTTTAATAAAAATAATTAACTTTGATAATCATGTTGTTTCAATGAGATTTCCCTTATTAAAGAAATAGAAATAATGCCGGGTATGATTTATACATACAAACAATGTACATCGCAGATTCTTACAAAATGATAACAAAATGTCGACACAGAAGCAAATTTGTCTAGATCCACGTATACATAGATTTACAATCAAACTAGTCATTCTGATTGATACAAGTCGCAAATACAATACATGACTACAAGATAATACCAGGTAACGGGTTACCATGTGTAAAGAACAGAGGTTTCATGATAAAACGTTTTTAGTACTCATAGGTAGATTGTATAGACAATAGTTTTACCCAGTCAGTTCGGTATCTAGGAAGGCCCCCCAAAAGTGATGATAAAAGAGTAACTTTGATGAGAATCAACAGATAAATGTTGTTTACGTGACTCTATCGAAAAGGTTTGAATTTTAGACCGGAATCTACTGAAGGTCAGCGTAACGTGTATGCAGCGAACAATTTTCATCCGATATTTCGTAAATATTTACCTTGCATTTTACTGTGTGAAGCAATGCGAGTCTGATGGTGTACATTTCATGAGTGGATAATTTGATGTAAATGTTCTGTAATGTGAGATCTGTTTGTATAGATTTCATTTTTCTCGTCTTCATGTAGTAGAGTACTGATGGTCCGAGTTACACACATAAGCATTGGTGTGACATTGACTGAATTTTTGTTCATACGTCCTACAATACCGATATCTAATATATTATAATTCATAACATAACTGTGCCTTGGTACACGTGTCCTGGTATACAATGTCTGTATGTTATGTGTACATGGTTTGCGACACCGGTATGGAAGTATTTTAATTCCTCCACGATTATATATATGTAAGTATATGAAGGTGCTGGTTTTACATTGTTACGTAATATTACATATATAAGAAAACGTTTTGCTCTGCTGACTATGAAAGAAAAATGGAATATCATTTTTTTTGTGAAAGTTTAAAAGTGTTCGGGTATCATTAAAAGCGTTCTGTGGTAACAATATATGATACAATGCGTCTCGAAGTCATTTTTGTCATAAATAACATAAAATCTTCAAGCAAAACGCACAAGTGCTGTTAGTCTAAATTGAATTATGAAATTTCCAAGGAAATTGCGTAGTTCAATGCCGGACATAAATGAGATTAAAACTGATACCGTTATCACGGAAATAGTATTAGATATGAACAGGTAAACCCCCACATAGACGACCTTCGGGGATACACCAAGATTTCACTGCTTTGTCACTATCTGCTGTATTTGTCCCCCATTGATTATAAACGGAAATAAAATCCAATGGAGATTCTTGTTAGATGACTCTGACCTATTTTTCGGGTACTTTTGAATTTTGTTGTTATAGGGCTGTCGATTAGTTTCACAAATTTAACCAAATTCGTGAATTATTTACATTTTTCTAATGCATTGCTAGTTATACAGAATACATATATAATGTAAATTATAGACGTTTATCATAAACAGATACAATACCAAAAAAAAAAGAGATGTTTAATTTTTATCTTATTCTCATTTTACTCAAGTCATAAAAAATCAAAATTTTTTTCCCTTTTTAATGCAAATAATAGATAACTTAAGTCATAATTATTTCTATTAGTATATACATGTTTATGCAATTTTAATAAAGACTATTTTGATTTAAACATATTTTATTGTATCAGTTATATACAAGGGATTGGGCACAAGTTATCCAACTTATTAAGCCCTTTCCCAACAACATATTTACAAAATATACATATTCAAGGTGGCTTTTTAAAATATATTATAGAAAATGAGTTCTGCTGAGATGAAAGGAGAGAGTAGAAAGAGAGCGAGATGGAAAGACAGAAGGTGAGGAGGGGAGGAGAGAGAGGTGGATCAAAATCTATTTGTATTGATAATAAATTGCTGTGTGTGAAGACATATTTTACTGTTTTCATCTAAAGGCTATCATCGAAACAGTCTTTAAAATATCTTTTTCACAATATAAGAGAATATGTAACAAATTTCACAAATGCTTGTTCGAAGACCTTTTATCTCAGTAAGTAATTATAACTTCTTTCGAGCGTCAGGAAATTTGCACAAAAAAAAAATATTTTCCCTCGAAATCCTATTTACCAATTGTCTAATGTGAGCGATTGAAATATTTCAACGACAAAAAGTATTCATAAATGAGTCCAAATATGTAAATATGTATCATTTTTAAGGCAATTGGTTTGTTTTCACTTTATTTGTGTAACGTGATGCTACTTAAACAGAATACATTTTGATAGCAAAATTGAACTGTCTTCTTATTTAATGGAAATTGAAGTTATTACGTTTCGATTTCAATTCATAAATTGTGACCTGTTGTTTCACTTCATGATGGTTCGGGTATGTTGTTTAACTTAATGGCGAAAGGTAAGGATTACGTGTAGGACATTCCTTAATGTGTGGAAGCATAAACAATGCATCACATACAAGCAGTAAAATTCATGTGAAAATATTAAAGCTGACAATTAATGGGTTCGAAAAAGTTTAATTAACTTAAGGATTTGTATATATGAAACACAAATGTATAAAACAATTGCACACATTTGCATTGTATAAGTCATCATGTTTAACAGAGGTCCAGAGGTATGAAGTTATTATGATAGTTAAAGCATGACTGACATTTCCGTGTTTGTGTTGTATCGTAGCTTGCGCATATCGCGGAACAATATATTCCGACAACATGGCGCGGGACCTTCGGTCAGCACTCTAAAACCGAAGGATGCTGGAACACAGAATCCACGACAATACTCATTGTCTAACACAGCCGTCGCAGTAAATGGTGAAATAAATTCACAGAAATCTAAGACTATAAAACATTTGAACAGAAATGCAATCAAGTCAGCAGTCTTCTATACTCAATGGTTCTTCATACATTTATATACAATATACACTATATACATATCAACACGGGGAGGTTGGATACCGCCCAGATACTATCGAAACAATCAGAAATGACTGTTATTTTCACGACTGATTCATCCATTCTACAAAAGTCGTTAGGAAAGCTTTGTTCTTAAGTGACATCTTTGTAATAACTGACGTGATCATCTTTGCATCAATTCAGCTGGTAATTCATTAAAGCTTGGTGCATCAAATATATCAAGAATTAGAAAATATATATAGTACATCATCAGTTAACACTGACAAAGCTCGTTTTATATTAATCCGTACAGTGTTGCTAGTATTATCGGCGTTGTGCCCCGTCAGCATCTGTAGGGTGTTGTTTCTATCCATTGAGCAGATTCATTGTTTCTACATAGAATTTCTTTGGTAGCCCTTTAACATATATTGTGTATAACGTCATCTCCACCTGGAAAGGTTTTCACGAATAATACGTCAGCACACTTTGTTGGTTTCCGCGGAGTAACAACATTGGTGGCATGTCACGTGTTAGTGTTTCTAACCAACCCATGTAAAGTCCCGCAGGACAGTAAGTTTTCCTAGGCACCGGTAACGTCCTGAAAATCGATAAAAATATCTTAACTATTAATTTGTAACCTACCAATGATATATAATGATAAGACTATGTTCCTATACGTAGGGTAAACATGATTTAATAATAATGAAACGAGTATTCTGTATGAAGGAAAAATATTTACAAATGATATATACTTTCGGTGAAATGATTTGTTAAGAAGGTGTTAAAAAACCTTTTGTATACCGATATTGAAAAATTATGACCAAAAACAACGAGGGGGATACGTACATGACAATCAGTGATGCCTCTGTTGAATGAATGAGTAGCTGTTCTCTCAAGCGGATGTTCCGGTATATCTGTAAATAGTGACAGCAAAATGAATTCATGAGAATGAATAGGAATATATGGTTTTTGACTATATGTATTGTAACACACACATCTAAAGCAAAGATTACTTCTTTGTAGTATTTCTGGTAGAAATTAAATTTGTTGAGTTTGGGTGACGTTCCCAACAACCTGTCGCATGGCCATTGGAATGACCTGTGACTCTCTCTTATATTGCCTTATTTTAGGTTTTATTAAAGAGCGTATATAAAAATGTAATAAGGATCTATCAAAGTCATTCAATTACTGATTATGACGTAAAATGACCAAAAATTACATCGTACAGATCCGAATATTAATGATTGACTTTACTCAAAATCAGCCATTGCAGCATAGACAAAGCGTTTATACGCCAGATTCGATTTAAATTTTCATGCTTAATGTCGTCAATGAACTAGAAGACGCTAACCTCTCTTTGTCACCTGGTCTAATACTAATAATTTTTCTTTTCCTGCCACTTAAGAGATCGAAATGATTTGTTTTAACAGTAAGATAGAAAGAGGAGGAAGCGATTTCAATGTTTCCAGGAGTTTTCAAGTGGACAAAAAAAATAATTTTTCGATATACACTATTTGTTAAAATGTTGTAATTGATATCGTTTATTTAATTTTCATTTCATGAAAAATATACCTTGGCTTTGTTGGAAATAAGATCACTGTCACTGATTTTCCAAGGGAATTCATCCGGATATTCTCCACCACGTAATCTCCATTGACGGATAACACTCTCAAATTCTTTATACCTGAAAGAAAACACAACATAAGGTTCTCGTACGATTATGAAAAGACACACACAATATATATATATATATATATATATATCGAAGACGAGGGGTCGTGCTAGTATACAGATACACAGCAAAAGAGGGAACAGGTAAGAAGAAAGTAAACAGATACAGAACATCTAGGATCACGTAAGAAGAACACAGACACAAGACACGGGGGAACAGGTTAGGAGTAAGATAACAGATACAGAACATTTGGGATCATGTCAGGAGTAAGTATACAGATACAGCACATCTAGGATCACGTAAGAAGAACACAGACACAAAACACGGGGGAACAGGTTGGGAGTAAGATTACCAGGCAAGATTACAGATACAGAACACCTGGGATCATGTCAGGAGTAAGTATACAGATACACAGAACACGTGGGACCAGGTAAGATTACAGATACAGAACACGTGGGACCAGGTAAGATTATAGATACAGAACACGTGACCCAGGTAAGATTATAGAAACAGAACACGTGGGACCAGGTAAGATTATAAATACAGAACACGTGGGACCAGGTAAGATTATAGATACAGAACACGTGACCCAGGTAAGATTATAGATACAGAACACGTGACCCAGGTAAGATTATAGATACAGAACACGTTGGACCAGGTAAGAAGTATACAGAAATAAAATACGGGTGACCGGGTAAGGACTAAGACTACAGAAGCTATAAATCTAGACTTATATACCACCAGAAAGTAAATTTTCTTTACATTCCTTCTGTATCATTTACCGTGTAAATTATATACTTAAATAAAGTTTATTTGTTGTGTTTTATCGGAGAACTACGAGGTACAAAACCTTTAACGTATATTATACTTATATACAAGTAGCTGTCGCTGCCCGTGCACATTACTTACCACTCGATGAGATGTACATTCAAAACACAATATTAATTAATGATGGATCCATTTCTATTAAGGTCTTAATCAAAATGAAATTGACATTAATTATCTCTGATAACTACTTTTATGACTTTGGTTACTATTTATTAATACCTGCACATGGCGTCCGCTTCATTTCCGATCCGTAATATAAATCAACCATTTTTACCATTACGCTCAACATTTGTTACCTTTTCGCACTGTTGTGCTTTAGACATAGTATATAATGCGTGTGAGCGTGTAAATGGACGATAACGCACGATATGCGAAATTTCTAACTACATTGTATTTGTGTGATCAAAACGCTAGCGCTGTTGAAAGTCTGCCTAATTACCATTTTGGCACTAAAGTGTTATAAACAAAACCATAAAGCACAAACACAAATATATAGAAACATACATGTTGAGAGACGGCTTCTTCCACAAATCTGGAATGACTGTCAGTTGGGAATACTCTATCCGGAACTTTGCAAGGAGAGAAGCCATTCTGAAAATGATATCACAGAATACTATATTATACATTACACTCTATTCCTGGAGAAACTTCTTCATGACTTACTCTTGTGTCAATTCAAGATATGTTTTTTAAACGTAATTATTTTAATTTAATTTTGTAACCGTTTAACAAGTTGCTGAACCATGCAGACATCATATGTATATAGTAGAAAATATTGAAAGTAAGCCCTTGAATGTTATCATTTTATTCATATTAATTATTAGTATACACAACTGCTGTAATTAGATACAGAACGTAGTACTATTATTGATTCAAAGCAATTATAGTTCTGCCTTACTGTACCTCATTTGGTCCTCGTTTGGATTGGAACGTTTACTTCCAGCACAAAACACTCTCAGCTTGCAGTCTTTCCATTTTCTCCGTGTAGAAAGAATGTATGGTATCAATAATGTTAAACCTAAAAGATAGATATAGACACCTGTTAAAGGTCTTATATATTGAAAATCGGAATACGCCAGCCATATATATGTTTGCTGTATTCGGCAGTGACGGAAAACAGCTTTATTTTGTTATGGGCGGTAATTCGACAGAAATGCTCTATGAATTTACTTAAATATTACGTTTAGAAACATGAATTGTTGATCAAATAAGCGATTTTGGAAAATTACAACAAACACAACAAAGTTGACCATGAAAAAGTCCTCAAGTTCTGAGTGGACGTTTAAGTATAGAAAAGGTCCTACATTCACTATACAAGCATGCAGGAGAGAAAGTGTTATTGATACATAAATGGATTAAAAGTATCGAATTGTTTATCTAACTCCTCTATCCTTCGATATCCTATATATCTTATCCTCGCTCTCACCGATGTACATCATTTATCGATATTGATATATGTTCTCAATGATTCTTGTAATCATTATTCGATCCTCCTGTTTTTGAATGTCAAAAACTTATAACTTGGTATTATCGTCTTCGCATTAAGTAGGACTAATCCAAAGTGGACCCTTTGTCAAACTCTTTCGAAGATGTTAAAGCAACGCATTATAGTAGTAGTAAAAATATATTAACAAAGTAGGATATGAAAAAAAGTAGATCGGTTCTTCCTGTGATCATTAACGTTCGATTTTAGAATAAAATCTAGAACTTTTACTAACCTCCATCATCATACAACCACCATACATCTATAGTGCCGTACTGCTTCTCTCGGAATCGGCCTGCATTAGAGTCACTTGATAAGGTAGATAACAGGGTGGTATGGGTAGGCCTTGTCCCATCCTCCTCCTCCTCGTCGTCCCCTAATTGTGTCTCTTGGTCCCTTTCATACGCCTTATTATCTTCTGCGCCCTCATCAACAGTGTTAAGTCTCTGAAGTACTACGTGGTTTGTTGGCGGCGTCACCTTGGCCTTGCTATTTGAAAACTTGTAAGAACTCTCATTTTTGTTATTTTCCCCGGGAATGTCACTGTTATCTGATGATAGGGTAGGCGATTTCTGCGAATCAGCTTCATATTGAATATCTGCAATAGGAACCGATAGATTGCATTTGACCTTCTAATCGTTCACTTAAAATCGAAAGGACCACTGAACAATTTGAAGAAATGCCACATCATGCAAAAAGAAAGTGATACTTTTCTCTGTGAAAGAGTTGTGTAGTACAATATGGATATGGCCAGAGAACGAAATTAGATTAATAATGTTGGGTGTGATGTCACATTAATGTCTTCTTATATTTTATCAAACCTTCTGGAATATCTTTGTATATGTATAAACTATCAGAAATAACATTTGTATGAATTGACGTAATTGCATTTTTTTAATTTCCGATTTCATTTTCTCTTATGCAAAAAATATAGAAATAATGACATGTTATCCGAGTAAACTACCATTACACAACAGGTTTGTAGCATAATCCGAAATTTCAACGAAAACCCCAAGAAATTTAGTTAAATAAATTATCTGGATATCCGTTAGAATTATACGATACAAAAATATTGAACAATGAAGATAAAATGGATAATGCACTGTTGACGATAAAGCTAAAAATAAGTGTCCACATTTGCTATGATATACGGATATACTTTCTTCCAAATCCACAATATACCATCCTCCTCTCTGAGTTCAGTAAGAGTTATCTTTCTTTACTTCATAGTAACAAAGCATACTTCAACAGTTTAAGGTATGAGCATTAGGTATAAATATGTTTACAGTTCGGTAGGAAACATTTGACACGAGGATAAACTGCATGCACTTTTCTCGAACCATTTAGTGATGTGAAGGCCAAAACCTAGAATTCACTTGAAAGAACATGTCTATGGGTTCTTTTATTTGATAATTAAAAACAACGGTGTTGTTTAACTTCAGGTTGGTAGCTTTGTTTGAATGTACGTTCTTATATAACAACCGGTTAGAAAATCATACGTGATGTCTCGATGAAAGCCACCGATCCTTCATCTGATAAAGGACAGTATGAAGCGTATATGCAAAGGACCACCTAACGCACGTATGATATATCACCAGTCATGCTGTAATCATCTCACATTACTTTCCACCTTTGTGTATATAAGCGTTTACTACAACCGAAATGTCTTGTAAATTAATTACCATCTCGTACACGGTGTACCTCAGTATTAATACGCTACACACGTGTAATTTCTCTGATAAAGGTGAAAGTCATGTTGAAACTTTGCATAAACAAAATGGTTGCTGATACAGCAACATTTTTTTTTTAAATTATTTATTTATCTACTTATTTTATATTTCACGTTTGTAGTCAATACCTTGTTCAGTTTCGTGTTCGTGGTCAGATTCGATGTCGTCATCTAATCCAACACACTCGTCCGGAACCCTGTTCATGTCTAGTCCTTCCGGCACACGTAGGATCCCCACGCCATAATTCAGATCAAAAGCATCCCTAAAGGTAGCAATTCCCCATATTGATTATATATGTATATGTTATACATGTACTGTACAACTGATATGTCTCGGTCTCTCTAGTTTTTCTGAGATATGATATTTAAACAGATTGTGACCATATTGAAAACAAGAATGCCTACATCTCCAACAGATATACCGAGCAATGATGCTATCATCCTTACCTCATAGAATTAACCAACTGTTACTTTTATTTACAATCGAAAAATGGGTTTTGTTTGATTTCCTATAAAAGGTCAGTATTAAAATTGAGTTCTCACTGAATGATGTTGTAGTAGTCGTCAACTTCGTATCCATCCGCCTTCTGCCAGTCAGATTTATATCCCATGATGATAGTGTTGGGCCGAAGTTTACCTATTCCTACAGCCTGTCAAAATCAAAAGCACAGAATTAATTACGAAATGTCCTAAATATCTATTTCATATCTAGGAAATAATATGTTTGAAATATTAAACGTTATCAATTCTGAATTATTATTTGATCTGTTGACGTCGTGGCGTCCAGTATTTCTTTAACACTTCAATGTGAATAAATCCTACCTGCATTAGCACCTGTGCTCCTATCCTTAGTGTAGGCGTTACCACACTATTGTAGAAAGCTTTAATGCCTCGTCCCTCAAACCACTTGTAGGCCCCATTGGACCTTAGATTCTTCACGTGATCTGACATCTCTCCCTGCAAAGACCAAAATAAGATTGAGTAAGGTATAGCTACAATCCAATCTACAGTGACAGATTTTTAAAACATCGCCCAAGTTTCTTGTAAAAATCATTCATACATTTTGTTTGATGGAAGGAACAATTCAATACTATGAAAACAATAAACACAAATTCGAGTCACTGACAGATGTCCGAAAAAATTAGACGGTTACAAAAAGGTATATACATTTATGTAGTTTTACATACTCTAAATATGTGACCGCACATAAGGAGACTCTGACGCTTGGTTAGACAGGCTACAAAGTCAATCAACTGAGGTCGGTTACGAGGATACCCCGACAGTACTAAAACTTGAGGTCTGTAATGAAAAACAAATGTAATCGAAAACAATGACTCATTAAAATAAATATCTTTTATCAATTTGGCATGTCAACTTTGCCACGAAACACTGCTCTATATGACATCATTCAAGAAATAAACTAATAAAGAAACTTTTGCTAAAAATAATATGTTTATTCAAATGTATCGTGATGTTTTCATTTGTTGATTTTTTATTCATTATTATCATAATTATCAACAAAATGCTCATTTGAATACTTTTTCAAGAGAAAATTGAGTTCCTTCAAACCGTTGTATCTGTTAACGATTTTTAATATTAAAGTGATGTTTTATTTGACTAATATCGAGGTCGATAAACTCCACACGATCGTACGTTAACGCAATATGTATTAAACTTACAAATATTTTATTTCCTGAACTTTGAAATAAAAATAATTGAAAATAACTTTAAATTTTAGGCGCTACATTTCTCTAGGTCTCTGCATCCCCTACGTATGGTGTTACCTGTCGCATTTGATTCGATTTTGTACACAAGTCTTGTATACAATATCACGATTTCCGTGAAAGAAGTCGGCAATTGGCGGACAAAATACAACACATGGTTTCGAGAAATGCAGTTTGATTAAGATTATAGGGAAGTTTACGGTCATTATTATAATCATACTGGGGAATCGTATTTTCTGATGTGATATTGAAGAAGGGCGTACTTGATGTTTTCCAGTATATCTAGTTATTCTGTTTGTGTTTACCTTGTTCTTACATTAGACTAAAATGTTATCAGCGGTTGTTCTCGATAAAGCAGAAGACGCTAACTATTCAGGAACAACGGGTTTTATTATCCACATACTTTTTCAAGGGTTCGAATTTGAATTAAGATTCAATTGACATGTCGGTTTTCTTCTTTTTATAACTAAACTTACCTGAAGTTTTTAACATGTTCGTCAATTTTGATGAGTTTCATACTGGATTTTAGTGCTTCTCTGTAAACGTGAGCTTGTGTGGAGGATCCCCAGTTAACGTCTGGAAGAAATCATAATAATAACAGGATAATAAGTGTGACGGTAAAATAATTTGATAAGCAAAACAGATTATATTTTTTACAAAGGTGACAAGTAATTCAAAATAAAAAGTAACTGATCGTTAATTTGACAATTAAATCTAGACAAACGCATTGATGTAACATCCTCAAAGTGTGTCCCGGGATTTTGACAATGAAACAAAATGTTATACCAAATGGCATAGTAAATCTATTTGAATTTCCTAAAAGGATATAGAATCATTTAACATTGATCAGCTTATTGTGATAAAACAATTTATTCATGTATACTATGTACGTCATCAAACATATAAACATATACTGTTAGTTCATCGGTAAGAAAGAAGGGGGATCAATAATTGTACTTATTTAAAACCTTATCGTAAAACGATGGAATAGTGAATGTTAAAAGCTTCTAACGGACCCTTACATTTCGCAAGTAAATCGGTCATAAAAAGTAAGCCAAAAATATATATTTATTGCAAGGGATGTCATTTTTGAAAATAAGACATTTGGTTACTTAAACAAAAAAATAAAGAAGAAAAACTTCATTTGACATAGCAAGTCCTGATAAAGTAAACATGTTGATATGGCGGATGTCTCCTACCTGGTTTGGTGACCTTGACGTACATGTACAGAGCACACACAAAAACAAATGTTATCAGAGCTGACCACCAGTTGATGAGGAACATCACGGCTAGACAGATCAGCGCTCCTAGTAGACTTGTCCACTTATTATAGAACCTAAATGCGGGTCGAAATCCTGAAAAACAGATATTTACAGATGTTTACCATCAAGATGTAATGATCATTTTTGAACTAGCTTTAATCTAACATATATCCTGTTTAAAACATCAGAAAATGGAAACCACACAGCGACAACATCATTTGAGATGAAAAATTATCTAATTACATTATGTAGCGTGTTTTGTGATTAGGTATTAACTTTTCATTTCACGTAAGCACCACGTCATTACCTGGTGAGCCAGCGATGGAGGCATCAAAACAAGAATAGTTGATTAAAGCATAGGCCATCAGGAAGAAGTTGGATATGATGGGCGCAATAAGATCCAGAGCACCTGCAACAAGACCGGTGAAATGTCCAATTGAAAGTAAACAAAAATGAACCCTATTCCCTTTAATATAACCAACATATGCGGGGTTTACATCAATGTATATAAGATATTGTTGTTATCGATAGTTTTGTATCTTAATATTTAAGCTCAAAAAAGTTAGGTTCTTATATCAAATACCCCTCCCTCTTATTATATTAATTTTACCCCATGCATATTTAATTATGATTTAATGTAATTTCATCACTGACCTATGATTTTAAGAAGTGAGTTTTTTGTTCTTAGCAATTGAATCGTAAAGAGTTTCACCTGTGATTATCTCAGGTCGCAAACAAGGATTTATTTTTTTATTTTTAATTCTGAAACTGAGCGTTTTTCCACTCACCTATGCAGGTCATTGCCACACAAATAAAAAAGGCAAGTAGATAGCCCCTTCTTGGCTCACCACTCTGGCCGTACCCTTTGGCAAAGAATTCAATGTAGGGAAACAACTTGTCTTTTCCGAGGGCCTGAGACATATGTAAAGATTCACGAATGAATGGCAAGGTACCCATGTTTTTCTGTTCGAAATACAATGCACAGCTTATAAATGAAGGCACTTACCTGAAATACTTTGGGAGCACCGACTAAACTTGCAAGAGCAGACGACAGCGTGGCAGAAAATATACCAGCGAGAATGAGAGGCCGAAATGCAGAGGCAACGCCAACAGCCTGTCCAAGAAAATACGAATTAAACAAGAACTGGTCATCACTGTAAGATTTCAGCCATGAAGAAATGAATGACAACTGACAAAGGTATTGTACCAAGCAGCAACTACAGTACAATGCCACATTCTAATATCAGATAACGTAAACATAACGTGTCTTTTTGTCATTTCGAGATTAATAAAACAGTCCTCTATACGATATCATTAATAAAATGAAGACAATGAAAATTAACAATGTACTAGATAAGTGTTGGACAAGTGAAATTGTCATTGAATAATCATATTATTATGGAGATAATTAGCCAATTTATTGCACTGTAATATAACAATTATGTAATATAGCCTACAGCGTTTTTCATTGTATGGGCCAATCAGAAATCGATGACATAATACAAGATTCGTCAATGACGTCATCATGTAGAATTGTATCCTTACCGAATACTAGTACTGACTACGAATCAGCAAAAATGTTACAACATTGATATTGTTAATAAATCAATATATTCAGTAAATGTACGGATTTCAGTGATAAACAAATAAAGCTAACTTGTGTTTCTGTATTTTATTTACAAATGTATGGCAAAAACCGGTCGATGCACTTAATGATCATTGCACTAATTTCAACAATAATAATAATGAACATATTACGCTAAAATGTCATTGTACCTAATTAGGAATTTGATTAGTATATTTACTACTGTTACAATGAATCGTAAACATATCACCAATGTTAATGTACTTTTTGTAATGTACAATGTAATGATTTACCCCGTTGTCATTCATCAGTCCATACTCGCAAGTTTGGTTGAACATGTCACACTGTTGGACGACCTCGATGGTAGGTGTGGAAATAGGACTGGTGACGACACTGACGTTGTTAGTGACATTAGCGATCATCTCCATTGCGATTGGTCCAACAGCGTCCCGAAGTATACATGACCCGGCACACCACAGCATCGCAAGGTACACTAGACTGGTCAGGAAAATAGCTAAGAATGTGCCTTTTGGTATAGCACTTTGAGGATTCTGTAAGCGAATATGTAGGCATTAGTTCTGTGGCTAAATCAGGACATCAGAAGTCCTGCCACTAATGAATTTATATTTCAATGTTTAGAAATTCACATTTTGGTAATATCTAAGAATCATATAATGTGCATGAGGTATTGTCAATATTTTACGTCACCTTTGTGAGAGAAAAAACACACCTTTAGGTCACCGGAGATGTTAGCACCTGCCAATATACCAGTGGCAGCTGGGAAGAAAATGGAAAAGACCGTGAAGAAACTATTGCCGTCCCGGAAGGCGGGGCCAAAGTTCTCGGTAAAAACATCAACTGTTCAAACCAAAAAAGGTATATATAACAACATTTTACAAAGCGATCATTTAAGCGCGTCAAAAAACATCACCACATAATATACACAACACACAAATGATGTGATTGATGTAGACCTGGATGATCATTAATCATGTATCATTACAGTTAATCAATCTCGTGTTGTATGCATTGGAATTTCCGTGATCTGTTCATAAACGATCATCCAATGATACAGGCTAACACCAGAAAAGAACTTGGAGCATTGGATATATGGAAGCTATATTCAAAAGACAGGCGTTTAACATTACCGCTGTAGCCTGTAACACCCTTCCACTGTTTCTCCTCAGTCGGGGGGATGAAAGTGCCCACAATGAAGTTGACAATGGCAATGGTCAGAATGACTAGGAGGCCCAATTGTGCCTAAACAGGTAAATATATATAGCAATACAAGTGCATGTTTCATATTTATCATGAGAAAAGTATCTTAAACTTGATTTGTGAAAATATCCTTACGGGAATGTGGTTCACGTATTTTCTAACAATATCAATGAAGTAGCGCGACACTTTGATAACGATGGGTGGCATCAATGTCTCCAGAATCATATGGTACGTTATTTGATAAGATATGTATGCTACAACCGAGAACCAACGTTCATCAAATCATTCAGTGGTTTATCTTTTTTGTCAAACTGATTTCAATTTTTACTACACGAAAAGTCATCTGTACAGGAAAATTCATAACTGATTTCATTAATGTGTCTTTTGTACAAGATTGCAGGCGGTGGACTGTAATCTCCGAAGTATGCCGTAACCTGAATTCCTAAATCTCATATTTTCGAATAGTGATAAGGTCCAGTATATACGTATGCGCATATAAGAAAATTGTATAAAACTTTTGAGCTGTGCATTTCCTAACTAACGTCTTGTCATTCATGTTGACTAATTTTGAGTTTCCTCGGTCGCCTCCTACCCTTTCAACAGCTTTATAATGTAGTTTGAATAATCATTTGGCCACATAGCATTTAAGTCTATACTGAACGGCGTACAATCTTCAAAACATGTTCTCGAAATTCTAGAAATGAAGAAAAGACAAATAAATTTCGTTTAAGCGATCATTGACTTCTACATAAACATGGTAGAAATGTGATGCCTATACCTTGGCCTCCCACTCCATCCCGATGATCACGATTGCCACCAGTAGAACTGACGTAGCACATCCAATAATTCTGACATCATTCATCCGGTCGCCAGTTATTGTCGTATCGAACTCCTGTAGACAACCGATTGTATCAAAACTGTGCTTTGTACTCTCTACAGAATATAGACTTCGATGTATGAAGCCTCGTTAAAAATGATTTCATAAACATATACAATTATATTTGGTATGGATGTTTATATCTTATATCAAAATGGCTACAAATGTAATTGGTTAAGGAAAGGTTGGCTTCTTCGCATTTAGATATCATACTCTCTGCTGTTATTTCTCTCCCTGGTTACTTTATTATCAGCTAGTATCTATTACCGACCATCATGAGTGCCTTTATTATCAGCTAGTATCTATTACCGACCATCATGAGTGCCTGGACAGTTTCCGCAAATCCCACGATGTACATGGCGGCCGCAATGGCATTGGCAAGAGAGAAAACGATTCCGATGGATCCCCCAAACTCCGGACCGAGACTCCGGGATATCATATAGTACGCCCCGCCTGTAAAGAATAACATGGAATAGGTATTTAATAGGAATAGGTATTTAATAGGAATAGGTATTCAATAGGCAATTGATTTATGAAACTTTCTTCATTTTACAACAATTTTGAAACAAGTTTTTTTTTTTTCAACTTATACTAATCGCTCGTTCCGGATGGAGGCGCGCGATAGGACTGACTGTGGAAGGAAAGCGGAGTACCCGAGGAAAACCCGGGTGGTTTGGCAAAGGACCCTCATACCTTTTCACGTCTGTTCCGGGAATCGAATCCCGGACGCCTTTGTGAAAGGCAGTATATTGCCACCTAACCACCAGTGGAAACATTGAAACAAATGTGAATATAAACAATTATTTTTTTCTTTATAAGGGCGATGCGAAACCAAGACACCATATTAATATAGCGACAGTAAGTTCCAAATAAGTGTTTAATTTCATCAAGGGAAGTTCGCAATATCATAAAAGAAGAAACGTCATATGATTTTTTTTCAATATAAAACTTCTTTGCTATTAAGATAATACAACAATGAAAAATTACTTTCGCTTTGCTTTATTCCAGAGGAAACAAAATCTTTGTTTTAATTTTTTACATATCTTCAGTTTGAAATCGCATAACAGCCTCAAACACAATGATGCAACTAAGTCATGAAAGGGTTTGATTCCTCACGGCAATCAATTGACCCTTGACATTCCGTTATTTCAGAATGATAAATACATTTGGCATTTTTCTGCTGTCTAGCGAGAACAAGTACAAGTCATAACCTATAATTTCAAGCAAAACAAAAATTTGCAATAAATAAAAAAAAATTAAAGTATCTTAAGTTATTAAATCAAATTCATAGCAAATTTAAATACGAGATTTGAGTAATTATCGGCCATCCAATAGACTGCGCAACTACTAAATTCAAAGGTAGGTGTTTCTATTTATAGCTGTAGATAAAACATCATGAAATGTACACCCCTGACTTACTAATTTGTTATCTTTCTAATTAAACTATTGACTTACCTCCCTTGACTTCGCCGTTTGTGCAGATAGCGGACATCGACGTTGTGGTGATGATTGTGACGAACGCCGACAGTAGAACCACGACAGAAGCCAGTCCTATTCCTGCCTGACCTGTCACCCAGGTCAGCCTCAGAAACAACATCACACCAAAGATATTTAACAGACATCGTACCTGTTATCACAAAGTTAAGATAATCATTTCAGGGTTGGTTTAAATTTGATTTAATAACTTAAGATACTTTAATTTTTTTTATTTATTGCATAAATGGCACACGGGTATCTGAAATACATGACGTTCTCCGTTGAAATTTCCAACAAAGCCATCCAGCTATCTTTGGCATCATTACAACTTGATTTACTGTTACTAGTATTCTATTTTGACACGTCATGGACCAACAGGGCATCATTAGTGTACAAATTATTAAGATAAAGTTTTATTGCAAATTACATTGATACAAACACCTGTGTATTGTACAGTAATCTAATCATCAAAATAAAGAATATCGTTTTGATTAAACGGTTTTTTTTTTCGGCAAAGGAATGATAATGTTAACATCGGTATCATTTGAAAATTTGCAGTGCCAAGCCTCTGACAGTTGTGTTGCTAAAGCTTACCAGTACACCCTGTATCCAGCCAAACTTTAGCGCTTGTGACGTCACAGACGCTCGAGATGTGGGTTTTGGACCCTCCTCCTCATCCTTCAGTTCCTCAGCAAACAGCCCTTCCTTGATCGATGGGGTGGCGGGAGACCGAGGGCTGGATGGCTGCAGAAACCAGAGGCGACATTTCCGTTTTAAAATGGATCGTGGGAGGCGTTATTAACTCTTTATGCTAAGTCAATAAGTGACTGCATGTCTATTTCAAATGCCTTCTGAGTGATAAACGTGAGCTGGGACATTAAGATTGAATATGAAAATTTAAAACACGACTTGACATAATTTTTTCTAACAACCAAACTTAAAACATTTTCGAAACTAATTACTGAACATTTAAGGGTAAGACAGTGGTTTTAATTCCAATTTTTGTATGCTATATACATAGCATTATTCACAGAAAGAAAATGTACACGTACGCAGACATTTGTAAACTCTGGATTAAAGCAATGATCTGCCCCAGGGCCCCCTAGCTCTGGTACAAAAGGTATCACCACGAACGGCCATGGCGTCATATAATTATTGTGGGCTCTAGATGCCCTAGGATGATGCATGGCCCGGGAAGGCCCGTAGGTGGTGTGTGCTATTTATAACGCTAATTTAGCGTTGTTTAGTCTTCGTCGGCTACTGAATACATATTTATGTCGTAAACCTGTCATGTGTATATTGTTGATTTCTTCTCTCGACCGGCATTTCTCGCCGACCTTAATGATAATTCCGCCCAGCGTGACACGTTGCATAACTTTGCTACATTGAAATACGAAAATGAATAAATTTCATTTAATTATATCGTTATATGAACTCATCTTCCTTTTAAATCCCGTTTTTACTGCATCAGCTTTATCTAGAATAAGATAGTTGACCTCACTGCACATTTCACGAAATAAAAAAAATACGTGCGTTGGAATGCTGTATGTCTAGTTCATCAAAAAAAATGTTTTTATAAGAAAAAATACAATTCGAAATGTCTTTTTACGTTTTTTACCGCTGATAAAGGTTCCTCTTTGAGTCGGTGTTCTGTTTCAACAATGTTTGTCCGCTGAATGGCCAAAGGCATATGTGAAATTGTAATGCATCGAAAGGAAATGCGCAATTAATGTTATATAACGATTTTGTGTTAAACTCACATCTGCGTTGTGGATAGGAATGCCATTTATTAAGTATCTGTCAGAGCAGCTATACAACATGTCCTTTTTTATTTATTTAAGGGAATACCAACACGACCTTTAAAACATAACCAGATATGTAGGATCTTGTAAGCTGAAAACCCATTGTAGACCGTCTATATGAAGATTAATGCATGCATAATATGCGAAATTTATCTCCATACTGTACAAGGGTTGCGGCTTCTATGTATAAATTATCATAATTTATTAATTAATTCATGCAGCCCGAATAACCATTTTTTTCTCCAAATGTGTGATAAAAATCGTGGTGACGCAGGTATAATTTCCTTGCGTAATACAGCATATTATTCTGTGAACAAACAATAAACAATATATATTATATAGGTTCAGACATTAATCTAATTCATGACAGGCTAGTACGGCAAATATCTCTTTTTAGGTCTCTTTTTTATATGTGATATGTACAGTACTAGTGAAATAACTCTCTACAAGTCAAACATCACATGTATCATTACTTTGTTAAATGTTTTCTACTTTGTTTGTTTGTTTTTTAAGAAATCATATCTAGACGTTTTGATATGTGTCCTTATTTATATATACATGTACAATGAATGTGACAGTCACGTGTACATCTTGTGGTATAAACCTTTTTTCTTTTGATCATGTTTGTCTTGAAAGGAAAATAAAAATGAAATATAAACTGCAGAAGTACTTAAAAAGTAGAATGTAATGAGGAAATTGTAATACAAACTGCCTGAAAAGTCGCTAAAATGATGATATAGAAAAACATCAAATGTTTACAGTATACAGTGTATGAACATATATTCATTTGGCAGTTAAGTATTAGGCTATATGATTTTGATGTGAATGTATTAAGAGTGAAAAATTCCCAGTGAACATTTTGTCTGTACTGAAAACTTTCTATGCTTACACTAATAACATTACCATGTGCAATTACTAAATTGTATAGCATCGATATTTAACCGCAAACAGATGCTGTTTATTCTTAAATAGGACATTAACGATTTTTTTCGCCTGTTTTCAAACGCATTTCCAATCACATCTGTAACTTGAAGGAGATACGAAACACGTGCGTTGTATTTCATTAAGAAACATACGCTGATGCGATGATGAATAACGACATGCCGTAAACAGGTCTATATTCTTGTACATAAGAAAAAATAGCAGCTTGCTCATTGCAGCCTCTGATTACAGTATTCTGTAAGGTACACAGGTACCATTAAGATTGGTCAGTACGCCTTTACACCTGAGGGGAGGGTGATGGTAGTAAGTGTCACACTGGTCAGTTGTCCTTCAATGTGTACTGACGTCCTATGTAAGTCACTGTCACTAATATAAAATCTCAGAATATTGTATATAGTACATTGTGTTTTTTTGACAGCAGATCATAAAGAATCTAAGTGACATCCTAAATCTCTGTCTGTATTCTAAAGGGAAACAATAATAAATGTTCGCTATGATAAAGTCAGTTGTCACCTGAGTTTATACAATGTGTGGTTAAACATTCTAATGACAAGTACCTAAAATTTTATCTTCAACCCTCATTATCATAGGATATCATTATAAATAGATACGCGATACCTACGAAAAAGACAAAGCAATTCTGACAGATAACATAATCTTGATTCGAATTCAAATTCGATGAAACAATGGCGAACTATGAATAAAAGGAAGATTGACTTGGAGAAAATAGGAGAATAAGACCAGGTGTTCCGGAAAAGTCAGCGTATTCTTCTTCATAGATTATATCTAATACATATATCATTTGAAATATAACTCAATATCGTTAGGCTGGATTTAACTACATGCATAGAAGGAAACAGCTGTGCCTGTATAACGCCCATAAGGGCAGTCATTTTGGAAACTCGAACCTCGGTCAAAATGATGCAAAACATTCAATAGCAATTTACGAAATTCTGCGAAAAATACCAGAGAGCACCTACCTCCTCGTCCCTGAGTTCGTCAAGGGTGGGTCTTTGGCGCACCTCGTCATTCGGAAATACTGAGAAAAGGTCACGGTAATGATCAACATGCGGAAGTGCTTCGAATGTGTCCTGGTTCGAACTCATAACGGACACCACAGACATACGCTGGTGCTGCTGAACAAAGAAGGCATCCATGGAAGACTTTCGGCAGGGCGGGACGGCCCGGGAATAAGGGGTAAGGAAATGATGTTCCGTGGAGGATATCTTACGGGCAGGAATATAATGCCGAATCGGCATACCCTCGGGCCCGACCATGATGGATACTTTCCGTGTCCTGCCAGTATCCTCCGATAAAGCACGTTCGGAACCATCCTCTGATATGCCTGTTAAACTGGGTTCTTTTCCGGAAATTTTGCGGTCTTTAACTTGAGACACATTGAATCTATCCGCTTCTGATCCATCTTTATTTTCCATGTCCTCACTTTCTATCTTTATTTCTGGAACGTCCACTTTCGGCGTTAACGGAGGTTCTTTTTTGTCTGTATCTTTTAAAGACAACATGACGATTAAGTCTTTGATCCTTTAGATAGCAACGTGTAAACTACGAATCTCTCAAGTTTGTAACAAACCACAAAGAATGTTATGTGATTACCTGGCTCCCTATCCGTACTGACAGACAGCAGTGTTACATTATATTACTGCTCTTTACTCTCATCAGTGGTTCACAGGTACGAGGTTTGTGTTGGTACCTGTCGTTTGTAAGCTCCCAAAGCGGTATATGTAGCGGACATCACCACCAGTACTGTAGCACTGGCTATCCCTGAACTCAACCTGTCAAGTTCTACACATTTCTCCGCCATCAATCAAAACAGCACGTGCTTTATGACGTCACTGCCATACTAAAACAACAATTATATTAAATATTAATGTTATTGCGTGAAAATACGACCATTAAATACTCCGTGAAATAATTGGTTAATTGATTCAGATGTAAGCTGCAACTTAAACAGGTAATTATGAATTCCAAGTATGTTCAGGTAAAAGTAATGACGTCACGTACAGGCAGTTCAAAATGCTCATGGGCTTCTTGAATTGTGAGAAAGGTGTTCAATCATGATCCGAAAGGGGAAAAATCAATATGTGTCATTTTCACACAGTCACACACAACAGTCTTTCTTATAGTCCGTGTCAATGCATCAAAATGTTCTGTTTTTTTACAGTATTTTTTTCCATCCTTGCAGTTTGATACTTGCAAAGATTCAGAACATTGATTATCACAAGAACATATCCGTTAAAACATACCTTCATGTAAAGGTTAGTAAATTCCGGCGTGTAACGATTTTGTCCTTTTTCATTTTTTTTTTTTTTTTTTTTGCTATTTTTTATATTCAATAAAAGGATAAATGTGCACCATGTGTGTCCTGACATTTTCTCGATGATTTCATTTTTGTCTTGGTCGCTGTTGATATTGAGAATACCTCCCTGTGTAAAAACATGAATATATTAAATATATATCAAAATGTTCTACCTTTTTGATTATAACTATCTTTTGATTCATATTGTTGTGAATATATGTATTGAAATGTTACATTTGAAATAATATTAATCTTGAAATTGAAAAATGAAAATGTTTGAATTTATTTTCTTTTTGATTCCTTGATTAATCAGGTGACAACCGAGTAAGTTAGGAAATAAGGGGTCATACAAAGTATACGGGCAAATTATGATAGATAATGTGAAATATATATCTTCGTAAGGTGAGGACAGAAAACGGTAATGCAGTTAAATAAAAGCGCACACAAACATCACACATACAATAGTACAACTCACACTCAAACATCACACATACAATAGTACAACTCACACTCATACATCACACATACAATAGAACAACTCACACTCATACATCACACATACAATAGTACAACTCACACTCATACATCACACATACAATAGTACAACTCAAACTCATACATCACACATACAATAGTACAAATCACACTCATACATCACACATACAATAGTACAACTCACACTCATACATCACACATACAATAGTACGACTCATACTCATACATCACACATACAATAGTACGACTCACACTCATACATCACACATACAATAGTACAACTCACACTCATACATCACACATACAATAGTACAAATCACACTCATACATCACACATACAATAGTACAACTCACACTCATACATCACACTCATACATCACACATACAATAGAACAACTCACACATACATCACACACTCACATACATCACACATACAATAGTACAACTCACACTCATACATCACACATACAATAGTACAACTCACACTCATACATCACACATACAATAGTACAACTCACACTCATACATCACACATACAATAGTACGACTCACACTCATACATCACACATACAATAGAACAACTCACACTCATACATCACACATACAATAGTACAACTCACACTCATACATCACACATACAATAGTACAACTCACACTCATACATCACACATACAATAGTACAACTCTCACTCCTACATCACACATGCAATAGTACAACTCACACTCATACATCACACATGCAATAGTACAACTCACACTCATACATCACACATACAATAGCACAACTAACACTCATACATTGAACATACAATAGTACAACTCACACTCAAACATCACACATACAATAGTACAACTCTCAAACATCACACATACAATAGTACAACTCACACTCATACATCACACATACAATAGTACAACTCTCAAACATCACACATACAATAGTACAACTCACACTCATACATCACACATACAATAGTACAAATCACACTCATACATCACACATACAATAGTACAACTCACACTCATACATCACACATACAATAGTACAAATCCCACTCATACATCACACATACAATAGTACAACTCACACTCATACATCACACATACAATAGTACAACTAACACTCATACATCACACATACAATAGTACAACTCAAACTCATACATCACACATACAATAGTACAACTCGCACTCATACATTGTTAATACAATAGTACAACTCACACTCATACATCACACATACAATAGTACAACTCACATTCATACATTGAATAAAGAGCAGTACAACATCTGTATCAGTTGAAAATCGGCGTTATATTTAATTTCGCGAACTTGTATTTTCAGACATATTTCACGAATATATGAAATAGCGAATGCTGATCTAAAAATGTCTTTAAACTCGCGAATGATTACTTATAAGAGAGCTGAACTTTTCAAGACTGCGATGTTGGGTACCAAATCAACATGGGGTTATTTAGGTTCAAATGATCGCGAGAGATTTTAAATAGTGATTGTCTCCCCTCGCGAATTAACGCGAAAATTAATACCACGCGAAATATGAGTGATTGACGCATACATATATATATATTGAAGAATTTCGGCTAAGTATTCACTTTTCGTTGAGATGAGCCATCAAATAACGTTACAAATATATGTGTCATTTGAGGTTATAGATCATAAATAATCTCTCCATACATAATGGGAATGCAGTTCATTTCCAACGGTAGTTTGAAATATTGCAAACGAAACTATTTTCTTTTCAAAATAGACTTTATTTATTTGCGAAGTTGCGAAACAAGTTATACAAATTGTACCTAATCACACTTGCTGGCACGGATTGAACTGTGCGATGATTTTTAGAGGGGATCAGAATACATAGGATACACAACGCAGGTGTCCCGGATATCACCCAGGTATATAACATGAAAGGAATGTCAGCACGTGCAGAAATTATGTTGTGTCTTCTAATTAACTTGACGACTAGATCAATAATTCATCTCCGTTGTGTTTATATGTTTGCAGTCTTGACAAAGAGTAACACAAAGTGTTTGAGAAGTTTATGTTTGCCTTGGGTCAAAGAGCGAGACTTAAATTAGTGTAAATTAACATTCTGATCCATAACATCCGGTGGCGGTGTCAAGTTTTGCGAGAAGTTTTAAAATTGTTCAATATTTACCTGTGTTATCATCATCAAAACTGCTTTAGCAAATATCTCAGTACATGGCTTCAGTTTTTATTTTAGTCTTTGCTTGGTTGTTAATTTTTTTAAACATCAAACGAATGTACAAATATAGAACACGCGGACAAAGTAAGAAGTGATTAAGAGTATAGATAATAGTACTCCTTACCTGGTCCCTCGTGTTCTATATCTGTATACCTGAAGGAATATTTTTTATTGGGGATAGATATTGATAGAATATATTGATTAAATGATGGATTTGTGAATCGATTTATAATGGGTGCATGTACATGCATGTTTATTGACAAAGGGTTAGCCATATCATTGCTGCCGCTAGAGGCATTTATCATATGCCAAGTTATGTTGTTTGTCAGAACTTCAAGCATTTGTTATCAGCCACATCGTTAATATATTATAATTACGTAAATTTTATTTCACTTTCGGGTTGGGTTCTACGTGTTTATGTCTATACACATGATCACAGTAGAACTTGAGTAGGATGTTATGGTTTGTGAGGATAACAGTAACATAAACACAATGACATCTCCAGACTACAACTATTTCTCATGTCCCTGTGAACTGATCTTGAGGACACCACAAATTGTGTACATTTTGTAAGTCAACGAGAATATTATAAACATATTTATAAAATGGCATTCTTGGATATTTAGATTTTCTTCTTCTGTCTACTTGTAGTTAAGATTAATTTAATGATGATTTAGGCTTCAAATAGTTTATATATGGTTTAACCTAAAATCTACTAACTTAGTGGTAGACCTGTCCAATACTGTACAGCCACAGGTAGCCCACAACAGACATCACAATATAATGACTATGCTAGCAATGTTCCCCGTGAAATAGCGGTCCTATTAAACTTAGACGAGCACCACTGTTAAGTATTCAAGGATATATATTGGTACAGCTAGCAACTAAAAATGTATATATCGAGATATTTAATTTTAGTTATAGAGATGGATATTATTTTGGAAGTTGATTAATGATAAGCAAAACAGATCTTATTGCGTCAACAGTTGTATGGACGCAATAAGAAAATGAAAATATGGCCTAGTACATATTTACATTTGTATTTCATTATACCATTAAGATTTTTTAAAGAGTAAATGTGGTATATATTGGCGCATGGAAACCTGACATTTACAATGTATCTGAACGGTATGCCGCGGTTTCATATTCAACTGAAGTACATGTAATTCCTGTACAAGTTGAACAAGAACACATTTGTACCTAATAATCAAAGGCAACATACAGTTAGAGGTATGTCCTTCATCAACAGGAAAATCGGGAATCAGAATATGTCCAAAAATAGAAATCATTTTCCCTCTATTGGTCACATATATAACGTAAGAGGATGTCACCATTACATAACATTTATTGGAAGATAGGTACGACTTCACGAAAGTACAATCTATAGCATAGTCGCAAAGTGGTTTCGTTTCCATGGAAGCAAATGTGCTGTATACCATGAACCATAGTACATAGCAGACCTCAGTCCGTGAACAGACAGACATATATTGGAAACGAGTGTCCCTGTAACAGAGCAGTACAGTGTCAACAAGCACGAGCATATTCCGTAAGTTTACATCCCAGTAGAGGAGCAGTACCCTGCTACAGGAAAATATTTCGGAAGTTTGTGACCTACTTACAGGGCAATAGCCTATCAGCGGGACGCCTATTACGGAAGCTATAGTCCTAGTTACAAAGCAGTCCCCCGTCCACAGGAATGCATGTTCCAGTGGTGTAGGACGCTTTGTCGCTGAGAAGAAACAACACTGTATTGACAACTTCCTCTACCTCTCCAAACCTGGCCATTGGATGTCTTGCCTTCCATGGATCCGCTTTTTTGGGGTCAGACCAATGATGTTTTCCCATGGCCGTCATACATACAGTGGGGTTAACAGAGTTGACCCTGATGGCTGGACTCAACTCCATGGCCATACACTTCGTCATCATGTCCAGTCCGGCTTTGGCGATGTTGTAGGGCGAGGTCTGGTTGATGGCAATACAAGAGTTCACACTTGAGATGTTGACAATGGCTCCACCCTTCCCACTCGCCAGCATGCCTCGTGCAGCTACCTGGCTAACATTAATGGCGGCCATAAGATTAACACTAAATACATCTTCATATGTTTTCTTATCCGTGTCTACGAAAGGCACCGGTGGCGGCGACACGCCTGCGTTGTTGACGAGTAAATCCAGAGGCCCAACGCCTTCCACGGCGGCTCGTGTCGCCTCCCAGTCCTTTAGGTCGACCTGAATTGTGTTGATGGACGGAAACTCCAACTTAAGGTCGTCAAGGTTAGCCTGCGTGATACTAAGGGCATACACTTCAGCCCCACACTCGACAAGACCCTTAACGATTCCACGTCCTATTCCACGGCCCGCTCCTGTCACCAGAGCCTTTTTATTGTCAAGGCGGATCTCCATCTCTGTATGGTTATGGAGACGACGGGGCGATATGCCTCCTTTCAGTGTATTAATGTGTCGGGTTTACAATATCATCAGCTATCAGTTGAAGGATGACCTTAAAATTAGAGATAAACTATATGACTGTACAAAAGATAAGGCTAACTTTGTCTGGATATAGACATGAGTCGAGTTATCTCCCTGACCTAAACAAATATAAATCGGTATATCGAACTATTCTCTTTCTAAAATATGCATCACAAATTTGAATTCCAGTGTAAAAACCTTTGATTCTAAAAGTCGTACATTTTTTTTTATCTTTTTTTTTTTTTTTTTTGTCTTTTGTCAGCAGGTGGGTGATCCTTCAAACCCGATTAAACCTAGCTTTGGCTGAAAATCTCATATTAGCTAAATTGACATCACGATAAAAACATTTTAAATGATTGTACGTGGATTATACGCTATGCTAATCCCTTATTCACAACCGATTTGTAATGTCCAGCTTGATCACTCAGTTTATTCGGGACACTCCTTTTAATTAAAAACCCGCCTCCTCTCAAATATTGCATGTGACATTTTTGATAAGGCATTTAATATGCAATCACGTGCACAAAATGGCAGCGTAAGTATTAGTGACACAGTACGTAAACGCGTGTTTTTCGTACTTACAACACGCCAAATTATCCTTGTAATGACAAAATCACTTTATTTTGAGGTCAAACACATGTAGTCTATACCAGTGTCGTGAATGTTTGTGTTTGAGTCTTTCTTGCATTTTAAACAACATCAGCAAACCTACAGAATATAGAGACCGTCCTGACTCCTGCTCCAATTTCTGTCTTGATTAAACAGTTCAATAATATGTTGAATTATTACTGTATCAAAAAATGTATCAATTGTGATCAGGTTATGATAATCCTGAATTTATGTAACATATTGTGTCTCATTATGCCTTAACAGTATTCACTAGTACGATAGTTCCTAGAGGTAATGTGCTTTACCGTCGTGGAACCTATTTCAGTTCAAAGCCGTCATCTATATAAAAAAAGTGCGCTCAGCGTCACCATGAAGGAAATGTTTAAGGATGGGTTAAACAAAAGATGATTTCAATTACGTAATAACTATTTAGGATATGGTTTTTACTAATCACAAATAGATATTTAGCATTGAGATGACATTTACCATACATCCATTTTCAAGTCGGAATCTTTGTTACTAATATTATCACGTGACTAATCGACTGTCTTTCATTATCACTTGAGATTACAGGTCGCGATTTGGCCAGTAACCGGTGCGAGGCTTGAATAATTAAATTAAACTACACTCTCTGCTACAATTACATGTAGGCTATTAAAAAATAACGGGGAAATATGACAATACTTGGGATCGAACTTGCAAACCCGTGATATTACGAATTTCTTTTTAGTACATTATCTCAAATGCAGCTTAACATTTAGAAGTAAATTCGTGTAGACACAGACTACATGTATTGTACATGTACATGAACAAGTGCGGAAATCCGCTCATGTTTACCACTCCCACTCATGTTAGTATGTTCCGAAAATAGCTGCAATACAGATGAGGTAACTCAAAACACACATCGTGCGCACACATGCAATAAACAATATCGCGCGCACAACTCGCGTGGATATGACGAAATAGCGATCACAAAATTGATCGGCAATTAAAAAAGTCATTTTTAATTCGACAGTTTTCGAAATAATACCTGCATTAATTAGTCTTTCTGTTGTATAGTTTCACACATTAGAGAGTGGCGTGCGGTGTACCTCAGGCAACAAATAATACCTGTATGTGTACATTTATTTATGTATATGACATGTCCGTATCCATGTCGGTTAGGTTTGCCGTGTTACAAACACAGTACTTCAGGTTTACCTGATAAGTTATTCATTGTTTACTCAATGATGAAAATATGAGAGTAATACAGAAGTAATGAAAATAAAATTTCCTTTCAGTAGACTTGATTTATTGTCGAGACAAAAAGAGACGTGCGTTGAATGTTTGCATGTAATGAGTGTTCGTACACTAAGGCTTGTCACGTGTGTCACTTTGTAAACAATACATTTAATATTTCAAGTGTATACAACAATTTAGTCTGTATCTGATGGATTGACACGTGTCAGACCAACATATGTATGGATTATATATATCTAGTTCTGCTCCTATATATTTACAAAATAAATAAACTCTGTCACACGCTTCTGGAAGTCTTTCCTAAAGTTATATTAAATCTCGATCGAAAAGCACAACATGCACACAGATGGACGATAGCACGCCCACATCGTGCCGACATCGTTGAAACCCACAATGTACCGGTCAAGGACTTCTATCCGCTTTCCACTCAAAACTCAAATACTTTTACCAAGAAAACTTCAAATCTGTGCAAATACTCTCAACGTATATACAACACATAAGCTCTTGACAAATAAAATACAATCCTTTACCAACAGCTGATATACCTTCCCGTTAGAAATGCCTCCAGTCCATATATTTATATCACTATATATATATATATATATGAATAAAATCAATCAAACGAATTGTCTTTTTTTCGAGGCAACCTGTCCCTTTATTAAGACACAAATATTACATAAATTACATCACACACATTAAACATAAAACAAATACAAAGTTCTAAATCTAACTCAAGAGCGGTGGTGTAAATTTAGGTGTCTCGATCGATGATCCCTTCGAAGCCCCTCTATAGCGGACAAAAAATAATCCCAAGTTGTTGTATGTCAGATGGTGATTAAAATATCAAAAATGTGTTGCACAAATCTATGCATGTTTTGCACTCTAGGCACAATATATATAGACAACTTGTCATAATGATCATGTTAAGAATGTCCACCTGTCGAAGACTTCCAAACACCCTTTTTTGGGTATATCGGAGTGGTGTAGTTGATTAGGCAGAATGTCTTGGCAAGTCGTTTTGGGCTGTAGATCGTGAATTCGAAAATGTCAAAAATGTCTCCCTTCATCACTTGTGTTTCCATGTTCAGATATCAATTAATTAATAAAATGTATCACATACAGTAATGTATGATGATCCGCAGGTTTCAGATTTGAATTCCCCATCGAAATTGTACGAAAGTTTAATCTATGTATGTTCCAAATTGATTTCTATAACAGCATTGCCGTGCAAATGTGAATATTACACAAATATGATGTAATATATTATCAAACTTCCACAGTTGACAAACTACAGTTAAAAACTAGAACAGCGTTGAATTAATTTTCAGACACCTAACTTCTAAATTTGTAAAAAAAAAAAAAAAAAAAAAAATGGGTAGGGATTTCTTGTGACGCAACTAATCAAACATTGTATTACAGATCGTGCGTTTTATTTTTGTAGTTATTTTTTCATTTTTAACTACATGTATAAAAATGCCTCACTCTTATCACGATATACAGTTTAGAGCTGAAGTAGTGTAATAAAAAAAATAAAAGTTATGTGATGTAGGAAGTTATTTCTTGGTGTCTAGTTTGATAAACAGTGTTAATTACCACTTTGAAGTAAAATAGTTGATTAGAGTCCCTACGGGACGTAGGGTGTCTGCGAGTGAACAAAGTAATTGATAAAAGTATTTAACAGTACATTATGTATCTCACATCATCTTCATACGAACATAGCCAAAGAATGTCGTATTTATGGAATAAACTGGTAAATCTCCATCAATGTATCCTCGGCGTTTGACACCACTACAAACATACATTTTGTTCTGTTATATATAACCCCATATGGCTTTCTTATACTGTTAAGAGCTGAAATCAGATATCTGGATCGCTCACCATTTTGTGATACCTGGTACACACTTCCGGTTCTGTCCTTGTTTTCATACACGACATAGGCATTTCCGTCTTGATCCACGGCTATGCCATCTACAGGCTTCCCAACGTTGTGCCGGAACACCTCATCTCCGCTAAGTTTCTTACACACTATCTCGGTTCCGTCTGTGTGATAATATGTCCCATTCAACTCATGCTTGCCAACAAGATGAGGGAAACCACTGCAGACAGATTTATCCATCACATTTCCGTCAATGCATATCGTATCAATGCAAAACTCCCCCCCCTGTTATCAAAACGTCGTCTAAAGCTGTAACAGACCAAACATTTTTGGATATTTCGATCGTTTTCATCTTAACAAATGTAGTTTCTTCAAGTAGGTCATATCGGAAAATTTTATTTCCATCTACACATACGTAAACATGTGTATTTGAACCATTAATATGTAAAGCAACATCAGTCGGTTGTCCTGATACGGAAAGTGTGGTGACATCATCAAACTCTTCACCAAATACGATTAGTCTTTTAGAGGAAAAGTCTGCGATAAGTAACCTGCCATCCTGTAAAAACGTTCCACCAGCGAGATTAACTTGCCCGAGGCCAACGTCTTCCTTAGTGACAGATTTAACGAGCTTTATGTTGGAGTGCATGGGATCTACCAAATATGAGGGATGTTTGAATCGACTAAGGTGTCTAGCCATCTGTGTCAGGATCTTTTGTATTCTTCTAGATGGCGCCTTCTGCATATCCACTTCCCCCAAGGATTCCAGAGTGACCAGTGATACCAGTGAAGAATTCATGTTGAACTTTAAGTTCAAATCAACATCCCCGGCCATTTCCAACCTGAGTTGTTGGAAGTGACTGCTAAGTTCGGACTTAATCTTCTCGAACATGACAAAAGCTTGTCGACGCGTCCCGGAACTTACTGACGTTATGACCTTGCAGCAATTTTTCACATCATTTTCAAAGGCATGGACATATTTATGCTTTTCCTCTACTTTCTGTTTTTCTGTCTCATATTTGTGTTTCATGTTATCAATCAAGGATTTTCGGAGATAATCCAATCTATCCTTACTCACGTCAACTATTTGCGTGATTTCCATGGCGATGGTTTTGACTTTCGTGCCAACATTTTCGATGTCTTTTTCTTTGAGTGCAACAATAGACTTCGTTTCACGTGTGATTTCCGCCATCTCAGAGAAGAATGCCGAGCATACCTCCTTCACATCAAACTCTTCAGAAACGTCATCGATGGAGGTAATATGTTTACATTCCCTGTGTTTGGTAGCAAAGCAGATAACGCAGCAGAGTTCCAAATGATCCGAACAGTACACCTCTAGAACTTTGCCACGATGACGTGGACAATCTTCATCAATTTCTACATCTGGATTGATCGGGACTCCCGTTTCTTCTATAAGACTAGAGCTGTGTCTTGATCGAACTTTAGTCTTCTGATGATACGAGTAACATTTTTCACAAAGCCCCTCACGACAATCGTTACACCAGTATATTGCTGTAACAGATGAATCATCCCTAACGTAACACATTGTACATTTAACAAAGTCTTTGCCTTTACTTCCTTCATCCATCAGTGTAACAATCAGATGATTTAACGGAAATGATCCAGCCCAAGATTTCTTCGACGATTTGGGATTCGGGGGTAGCACAGTCGATCGACATACAGGGCATGGGAAGTCGGTCTTGCTCTCTTGGGACGAAATGTATAGACCGAGACATTCCTCACAAAACGTATGTAAACACGGCAGCGATCGCGGTGTCCTGAATTGCTCCAGACAAATCGAACAGTCCAGTATTTCTCTGGACGGTTCAATACTTTTACGTGTACTTGTCCTTGACGCGGCCATTTGTTATCGTTGGACCAGGAACAAGTTTGATTATTGAAACCGGTGTAACGTGTAGATTTATACCTTGTAAATGCCGGTCCATGCGTCGTATTTAAGACAAATTGCTGATAAGATTATGAATCATAACCCAAGTCTATTTAAAAAAAAATAAAAATAAATTCGAAAGGCAGTGAGTTACATATATTTAACTACTTACCTTCAGTAGTTATTGACATGGTTGAGGGGAGGCAACTCTTCTACTTTCAGAGGTAAATCATTAAGACTGGATTTTCTTTCTACATGTGGCCGGATTTGCTGAAATGAAAAAAAGTAATAGTAGGTGTACCATATGATATTGACCACGATTTCACAGAACTTCAGGTGTCGCTGAGATAAACAGTTCCCATGCTTACGCGCCAGGGGAGACACGAAAAAATCTTATGTATATTATCTTAATTTTGATGTGCCAGAGAAAACATGAAAATTCGTTCTCCATGCCTGAGGTAGTGTATATACATATACAATGTATGGATAATACACTACTTTTAATGCGCAAGAGAAAAAACGAAAATAAATAAATAAATAAATAAATAAATAAATAAATAAATAAATAAAAAATCTGCATATAATGGGTGAGTGCGTATACCGGTATATGTGATACTTTAAATGAGCCATTGAACACATGAAAGGCCTTTTTCTGCATGCGTGGTGTAAGTTCATACTACTAAGTGTATTTAAACTGATTTGTGCAAAGAATAGTACATTTATCATATTATGGAATGATACGGCATTTTACAAATACAAAACAATGATTTCAGATCTGACTTTATTCCTTATGGTTTTGAACTGGTGTTTCAAAGAGCCTGACTATATACTATCATCAGATATCGATGACGAAGATGTTGGTTTTATATTTGCCAATATTCGCTAGCCGAACGCCACTGACATATGTGTACAATACAAAAACGTTTAATTATTCAACAAAACGTCAGAATATCAGTAATACAGCAAAATGTGACGTTGCCAACATCTCATTCTGATTATATAGACATTTCAATTAGTTTTCAGGAGTATACATTTTGATATTTTGAAAAGTATAAAGACAAAAAAGCTCAAACAGGGAAACAACTCTCGACCCGATGAAGAAACTCTCTGTGATAGTGTAAAGCAGAGTTGGCATGCTATCGCTTTAATAGTTATTAGTTGTCAGTTGTTAAGATCAAATTTAAAAATTAAATTAAAAAAAAAACAAATCAAAATTAAACTGGTTTAATTCATTTGTCAAATAATAGATATGATTGTATTATATTGTTAGCTAGCATAGTATTCTTCATTTTAACTTGACGTAGGAGGGGAGGGGTTGTAATGGTAAAATCATATCTAAGTGTTCCATATCAACGCTTACCAACTCGGCTACTTAGCCAAGTCTATGATGTTACGTCATGATTAGAAAATCGCACGACTAAACACCTGCCTCCGTTTGATTCGGTCTTCAGTATTTTCGATTTAAGACCTGTCAAAATGTTAATTTGAGTTATGTGATCAATATTGTCCCTTGGATTTTGTTTTGTTTCATTTATAAGTTGTCGAAACTCGTCTTGAAGTCTCAATTTTTGTCCGCCAAAGTTCGCAATGATTCATCTAA